AGCCTATTAAGCGTGCGGCTTCTGACCTGACGAGCCTTAAAACGTGCATTCAGTCCCTTTTCAATATCTCTACCGTATCTAGCCAGGTACCGTCCTAGGCTGACCCAACACCCACGAACACCCTCTTCTCCAGCCCGTGCAGACCCTGTCTCTTTTCTTCGGACCATCCCTGGGCATTTCTCCGTAAGGATGGGATGTACCATTCGGTATTAATTCCACCTCTGTCATCCTCAAGAGCAGGGGTTTCCTCGAAGGCGTCTCGTTGCGACCACGGTCAACCTTCAAAGCCCAATACATACATAACACAAGGCCTGCCAGTGTCTAGACGTTTTGAGGCGACCGACCCCACCATCATTCGAGGATTCTCGATTTATACACGACCCGTCATAGAATTAAGAAGGACAAACTCCAAGATTATTTCTTTCCCTTCTTAACATATACGTTCTGGCTTCATATCTATGCCTCGCAACCCTCTTACCATCCAACCTTGTCGGTAACAAACAAGCTCAACAACTAGGATCGTACTACTACAACTTGCGTCTCCTGACTACCTTCCCGACGATTCGATATATATTCAGCACGTACTTGTCAGTTGAGTGCCTACCCAGTAGGCTTTTGGGTGCCAGTATCTAATTTCATCTACGACAACCCCTAAAGGAGACACATCGGCTATATATCTAAGAAGAATCACATTTGGCAACTACTCTGGATTCCCATAGCAGACATATGCGATTGCCTTCAGCAATATTAGAATATATCTAAATACTACAGGTCGTCTGAGGTGGCCTACTACTGGAGCCTTGGTAATCTCGTCTCACAGTTAGGACGGTACTTGATTTTACCATTAGGCTAGGGCCCAGAAGCTAGTTTTCTGGCTTTTCTGATACCTTGTCGAGCATCGACTGTGGAAGAGTTGGTTTTCTTTGGGACCACTTTGAACGATATACTTCGGCAAGTAGCTCCCCTAGCTTTTGGAATCACATCGCCTCCGATACCCAACCTCCACAACATTTCCAATGCTCGTTACCAGGCATCTCGATACAGAGCAGCACCACTGGTCTAGCAAACTTGAGACCGCCTTCCACAAATCTACAAGCCCACGCATGTCGAGCTACGACGGCCATTTGTCGACGCAGCCTGATTGGCAGGGGCAATACGCTTTTCTTCCTCCCGGAGAAGGTAGCATCTTCGCACAGTCCTTCGAGCAAGTTTCAGGCTCTAATAGTAACAATAATGTCGCTTCTCAGCAGCGCCCTTCAAGTGCGCACAACAGCAATCCTGAGAGTACAAATCAGACAAATCATAGCCGCATAAACTCACCGATGAGCCACCATCGTATATTAGACCCTCTTGGACTACGGCAACCAAAGGCCGAATCTCCTGTACAAGAACAGCCCGACGTGCAGGGTGCGAGCTATGCCATAAAGGCTGAGTCTGCGCATGAAGAGTCATTAGCTTCGGCGGATCACCAAGGGCTGCACCTCGGACAGAATACGATAAGCTCAACGTCGTCAGCAGGACAAGGTCAGGAATCCACGTCTATCCCAGCCGGAAACGAAGAGGCTGCTATAGGGAAGGATGAAGATGATGATGTACTGGAAGACGACGAGATGGTAGAAGCCGATGGAGATGTCACCACGCAACCCCAGACTGCAGCAGAGCGCACAGCTGCCCGGCGAAAAATGAAGCGTTTTAGGTAGGAAATGATGGTGTAGTGGGTGGTAAACTATGCTGACAATAGTAGGCTTACGCATCAACAAACCCGGTTCCTCATGAGCGAGTTCGCAAAGCAGCCGCATCCAGATGCTGCACATCGAGAACGTCTTTCAAGAGAGATCCCTGGATTGAGCCCCAGGCAGGTTCAAGTCTGGTTTCAAAACAGGTAAGACTACTGAGGTAACCTTTTATTTCGAAGAGAAGCCTAAACAGTTACAGGAGAGCGAAAATCAAGAGACTCACGGCTGATGATCGGGATCGAATGATCAAAATGCGTGCCGTGCCAGATGACTTCGATAATGTCCAGGCATTACATTCTCCTTATGGAGCTGTGCACGGACTGGGAACCCCGATCACACCTCCTGTTGACTTCGGGACTTCATCGTACACAGAACATATTATGCGGCCGCTGATGGTAGACGGCATGCGCCGAGGCGATCACGACGACCATATGTCTTCTACGGGTATGAGTCCGGCTTTTGGAAGTATCGGCTTTACACCTTCAGGGACGATGAACAGCTCTGATCTTCTTTCACCGCTGTCGCAATCTTCGAGTGACCGAGGTTATTATTCCAGTCACTTGACAAGCCCTCTTGGAGGAGCTCACAGGACTTCAAACCCCTTCGCCAGGCAAAATAGCCTCGACTCCGGTGTTCAAATGCATTCACAAAATAGACAGCAAATCCGACCCCTGCAGCCACTTCAGCTCAGAGAGACATTATCTCGGTCGAGGCCGGAGAATCTACAATCCCCTCTGCGCTCGAGTATGTCATGGAAGGGGGATGCAATCGACTACAGCACGTATTCAAGCACCAGTGGTAGCCCTGGAATCGGAGGCCGACATCAATCAATCTACCAGCCGGACCAGATGGGAAGTAACCCAACTAGTTCACTGAATTATGACTCTAGCTCTTATTCTGGTAAGGAGGGATTCTATTTGCAACTTATTTATAACATCTGTCGCTAACTTATTTTACAGCCCCGGGTGTCCAAACCTCTCCTACCAATATCAACTACTCGAGCCTACAGCAGCCTTCGCAGAATAGATCACGCCTTAGAGCTGCCTCCGCCACTCTTCCACTTGGTCTAGATCTCCGACATCAATATCGACCCATGTCTTCTAGCCATAGTCTTCAGTCTCCTGGTCATTCTTCTACTCCTCGAGTTCCTACCTCATCACCCTATGGGTCATCATCTGCATACACTACGAGCTTCCCGTCTGCTCCGCTATCGGCACCGATCGACTTCCCACTATCCAGAACACCTGGAATTAACAGAACCTCGGTTCAGGATTACTCCATGTCTCAGATGAGCGCGCCAATTGCACCCCCTCAGGATTTCACCCAAGCGCTACATGGTGGTATAGGTAGTTCAAGTTCTAGGACTCCTATGAGAGATTCATTCGGAGGTGGCCCTTTGAACGTTAATCAGGGGCAGGGATCCGGTGAGAGAAGCGAAGACTATTCACAAGACGGATCTGGCTCGAGTTTAAAGCGCAAACGGAGCTCGTTCAGCCTCTCGCAGGGTGGACACACGCCTGGACCAGCCCAAACCTCTCAACCATACGGACACACAACTTGAGGGATGCGCCACTCAAAGTTGTACTCCTCGAAATTATAAGCATGAAGTACTGTAACACAGAAAACTCGAAAATAATAATGCGGCGCTCTTCTGGTTCGATTTTTGAAAATAATACCCGGTTTTTTTAAGGACCCTTCTAGACTATCTTGTGTTACTATATACATTTTTATTCATTTTTTCTTCCTTGCATTTTTTAGGGGTGGATGCGCCACAGCGCCATGACGGGTTTGGGGAGTATTTTAGTGTTTGGTTTGGCGGGACCAGAATGATTTTGTTTACGACGTGAGAAAAGAGCATAACATACATACATACACGCATACATACTGAAAGGAGGGCATGACTGGTGGGACTTTGGGACGGGACTGTCGTGTGGTCAGAGATGGGTGAATTCGAGCGAGCATATTTTCCACCGTTTAAGGCGCAGAAGTACCCTTTGCCCATGAGATGTACATAGAAACATCTTTGATCGAGACGAATTCTCGTGTTCAATGCAAAGGTTCTGGCTCGCGAAAGCGAACCGAGCTAATGAACAACATGATCACACTTGTTGAATTCTCTAGTGCTCGGTATGGAAACTTATTTTACTTGTAGTTTTCCTTGTCGGGCTTCCTGTATAGGGATGCACGTAGTGGTATAAGTAATGTGATTACTACATAGCTTAGATACCTCCTGTATGAAGCCTGGTACCGATACGCATTCCAAATTCTAACCTTCTCCGCAAGTCCTCGTCGATCTGTGTTGAGGCTCACACGACTAGTAAGGCATGAAAGTCGTCTCCCGGTATGCATCTTGGGCCAAGGCGGCCCAACGCAAACAACGAGGGAGATACTTACCGAAGGTATGCGCCCTAGCTTACTACTACTACAGTACGCTAGGTTGTCTATCTGCCTGCCTTATAACGTACACGACCAAGTTGTAGTGGCGTGGAGAAAGAGGGTTTTGCCCCTAAATTCGGAATGTAACGCCGATAGATGGTAAATCTCGTTTTGGAGAGATCTCGTTCCACTCAGAATTCCCCGAACACGTTTTAGCAATTAACAAGGACGGCCCTCCCTACCCAGGCAGTGCCTTCGATGCGACATTGCAGATGCTAGACAGCTAACTATCTCCCTCTCTTTATACCTTCTCATTTTATTTTGTTTTAAATCCATTTCCGGGTGGCCGGGTGTTGGTCGTGCAAGGCAGAAGAGAGACGGTATGGTTGACCAGGGAGGGGTTCTAACTTACATGATAACTATTCCGGAAGAAAAGAGGAAGTGAAAAAAATAATAATAAAAAATAAGCGGATCCCTATAACACGGGCCTCCTCATCTTGCTTAATACCTGGTAAGAAAAGAAGAGATCTGAAAGCAAGGAGTTATTATATATGTAACAAACAAAGACTATCATCAAACGTCTACTAGGGGGTCTAACATTCATATCATATGAAACTTCTTCATGACAAGAAGAAGAAGATGAGAAGTTTCCTGGGATATCCCATCTTCTCATCTCCTTGGTGTTATGCAAGCATCGCAGCGAAAGGCGCGGTAACAAGCTCTCGAGCTACGCACTGCGTTACATGGATGCACCCGGGGTGCTTAGAGGAAAAGACCAATAATGGTTAGGAGAGTCCCAAAGCTGACAACTGCATGATGGGTTGCACAAGACGCAGCCCGTTGCATACGAAAGGGATGGTATTTATGACGGCTGCTGCGTCTGGGTGCGACCCTCCCACCACCTAAACCACCTAAGCCTACCAAAGGTATAGCCAAGGTAGACAGACCTATGTATATGCAGTATATGCAGTATATGCAGTATAATGCCATGCAGGAGGAGGAAGGAAAGCATACGTACGGCGCAGTGCAGTGAGACCCTGTCGGGAGCTGGATCTTAGTTCTGTGGAAGACAGCACAGGGACCCGAACGCTGTGCCAGATACCACGACATAACGATTGGTTCAGATCTTCGGGCGCGGGAAGGACTTTGCTGGACCGGGCCATACCTAGTCCCCCAACTTCGAGGAATAGGAGGGATATTCCCGTCAAGTAGGTTGAGCAAGCAGCAAGCATCAAGCATCAAGCATCAAGCATCCACCTTTCCATTCTATACCATGACTTTTATGACTTTTACATTGCTACTAACATTGCCAACATTGTACACAAACAATGTAACTATCGAATGTGTATGACATAGCATAGCATAGCATAGCATAGTAGCCTATGCCATGCTATGCCATGTCATGTCATGTCATGTCATGTCATGTCATATCATGGCTGCACCGCAGATGCTTGCCGTCGCTCGCCGGTAAAGCTGGTTGTTAGTCGTTGTTATTCGAAGCTTAGCCTAGGGCAGAGGAGTAGATTTCCGGCCAAGGATTCCCGGTACAACAACCGTGCCTAAGACAGATAGACAGCTGCGCTGCGACGCTTAAGATCGCTCCGATATTTTTGGCTAGACGGTACGTTCAGCGCCCAGCTCCATCGGGACTAGGCCCCGGACAGCGCAGCCATCGGTAGTTTTGTCCTGGTCCTGGTCCTGGTCCTAGTCCTGGTATTATAGAAAAAGTAGCAGGATGAGCTTTTGCGTCATTCCGCGCTGGACGACAGCAACACATCGCGTTGCAGGAGAGGCTTTTCCCCCTAACCCTACTGTTGGTGGTTTTCTTCTTCTCTCTCTCCCACCGTTCAACCACTCGTCGAACAAGAGGCTAGACTACAAGCTTTATCCTCGCGTCCGTCTCATCTGCTCACGGATTCAATCCGTCCATGTCTACCTACGTATCTATGCAGACGCATACAACATCAGCAGCAACGGCCGAATCTGACTGCGGCTAGATTCAATCAACGTGTCTCTGCGTCTAAGAGGTCTCTTAGCACTGTCGTGTTCTTCTGTTATTCTTCCGTTTTGACTTCGCTACGCTCACGGCTTATACCTACACGGGCACCCATCTACGGCATACGCCCCCCCTCATCAAGCCACAGGCGCAAGCGCGCGCTGGCGATCGGTTCTGGACGATTGATCTTGATCGAACAGGCCTAGCCGGCTACTGCGTTACTGCGTAGGTACCATACGTACTGTCAATCAAGGTCGCGGGTCCGACTGAAGCCACAGTTTGGTTCGTGTTATGCACCTGGCCGTGGCAGCCGGAGGCAGGGCTATAAGATGTGCTGCTATATCCCCCCACTCGTTCCACTATTCCTCGAGTCCTGATTTCCCCTATTGAGATGCTGTGATTCCCATTCCCGTCGTAGCCTTGCCTTTTTCTGCACCGGTAGGTTACTAAGGTAGGATAACGATGTACTGGATATGTTGTACTGGATATGTTACTATGTAGACGTGTAGATACAAAAGTACGATGACACGACGTAGTTGTACATATCTCATATCTTTATCTCGCCTACCGTACCCTCCTCTAGGCTCTCTCGTACGAATGCACGGGTGATAGACGTGCAGAGGGAAAATCCAGGAACGTGATCATTTTAGTCAGACTCGGTGAGGTTCTAGGCTTGCTTCATCTCACAACGAGTCTCCAATCTGCGAATCTCGTTTATTACACCACATGAAATGACTCAGCAATCCCATACCGACTGGCCCCTCACCTTACCTACCCGCAGAATGACTGCATCCCCGGATGGACCCCTAAGTCCTACATCTGCCCCTATTCATTACATCTGCCCCTATTCAAACCTACACGGATAGAAAGGCAAGGAGGGACGAGACAGCCAACCATATGAATAATGACGGAGACTTCAGCCTTGAAAAGCTACGGAGCCTCGCCGAACGGCCCTCTATGCTCCTAGCTTGCTAGCCAGGAACCAACTAGGTAGACTCGCTAGGATGAGAGATCGCCCGCCATTTAGGCAAAAGGTGTGGAATGACAGCATATGGGGCCCTAGGAGCCAGCCAGCCAGAGAGCCGAGACGATAGCTAGGTCTGGCCTTACTGGACCCGTATCTTTACCTAACCGGATCGAAAATTTCCGGCGAAGCAGCGGTGGGGGGGAAAAGCGAAAAAAAGGAGAAGTGGGAGAGAGCAAAAAAAAAAAAAAAGAAAACCCCCATATGTTGAATGGAAGCCTCTCCCATTCTCGTTTCCGCGGGGGGGCAAGGGTAAGGGACGCCGCATAGGGGGCAGGACGAACCAAAAATCCCACGATGCCGAACGGTGGGAAATTCCGAAAAGGATCAAGGGTCGACAGAGGAGAGGTCGGGGCCCCGGAACGACGATCTCCAGAAACCGGTTCCTGGAGCCTAGAGCCTAGATGCAGTTCGGCACTTTTTCATCAGTGGCTGAGGATAATCTCTAAGTGAATATCTACCTGTCTACCTATCTACCTACCTATCTCTCGAGCGCCTACTGTTGTATACGTAGAAACGGGACTAACACGCTCTACCTCCCCCCCCTGGTTGGCTACCTAACCTAGGTATCTATTGAATGTACATTACTTGCTTGCTGTTACTCGCTAATGTGACCTGCCCCAAAGCTCTACCGAAGAATGGCAGGGCAGGTTGGGCATCGGTTCGTTATTCGTGGCCTATCACTGAAACGAGTGGCGGCGCCAGGGGGGCTTGCTATGCGAGCAGCGTTCCGCGCCGAGGGGCAGGTCATCTCGGCCACGAAGCCCGGTCGCGGGCCTGGCTTTGCCCGATTTAATAGGGGATAGGGGGGAGGGGAGGGCCGAATTCTAACACCCGCAAGATGATCCTTGGACCTTGGTGTCTCTCCTATTGTGTATGTGTGTGTAGCTCTATGTGTGTATGCGTATGTATATGTCTTCGAGGCAGAACGAGCAACACATCGTATCACGCCACCGATATGTAGAGCCGTATTGTAATGTGCTTGCAGATGGATGACGATAACCGTGCAGCTGTTGGCGCCTGCGGGCTTGTTTGTGTGCCCGGTTCTTTCACGTATCTTCCTGGGTACCCGACTCGGCTGTATTGCATTAGGGTTGGCCTGTCTGTCTGTCTGTCTGTCTTATAGCCGCGCCCTGTCCTTGCATCGTTATTACGGTCGCTTCTGGCACGCGATGATGCCATGCGACTTATATTTCGCCGACAGCAAACCCTAGTCTTCCAAGCCCGCGAGAAAAAAAGAGACATCGTGGTACAGTGACATATGCAGACATTTCTCGAGAGCCACCGGAGCAGCCTCTTGGTAGTACCTATCGCATGCGGAGTGGGATATTGAGTCGAGAATTATGTTCTCTATAGTGTGTTCCTGCAAGGGGAAGAACCCACGTTTGCACAGCAGAAAGTCTGGAGGCTGCTGTTAAAGATGTAGTATACATTCAGATCTCGTAGCTACACGCCGTACCCCTACGTACTACTCGAAAAGAATCAGTTCATCCTCCAAGACGCCAAATCCCCAAAGCGGCTCCGAACAGGAATGGCCCTAGGGATCTCCGTTCGTCCAGGACGCAACCCAGCCTACCTTACATCTATGTCTTAGAATCCGGGGACGGCTGGGAACCTGCAGCGCGGGGGTAGGCCCATCTATCTCCCTCCCTCCCTATCTATCTATCTCTCTATCTATCTATCTATCTAGCAGCACGAGGACCTGGACAATGGCTGCGATGTTTAAAGTGCTTTGCAGGATTCCCACATTCCCACCTAGTTTAGAGGAGAGTCGTTTAGTGTGGGGAGAAGCATGTAGGACGCAGGAGAAGGACTGCCATGCACAGCACTACCACTTACTTTCCGATGGCTTGTCACCCCCGTTTGTTCAAAAGGGGCAAGGGGCCGTAATTCGCCAGTCACAAGCAGGTAAGCGGCCAGAAACTCGGTGCTTCTACGTGAAGGTGAACCAAGGGGGACAGCGTATTTGCCTGGAAAAGCCCACTGGAAAGCCGACGTTAACGTCCCCCCTTCCAGCTCCGCTTGGGTTGCCGCGCTCCTACTCGCGAGCCCCCATCTTTCCCATCCTTACCATCCCCTACAGCCTCCGTTAGCCGCCCCAAGTGCACCGGCTCATATCGAGATCGAGGGGAAGCCAGCACGGCAGTCGCCTTCTTTTGTTTGTTTTACGTAGTGCTAAGTCGTAGGCGCCACGAAGACGACGGAGTCGAAACGGTAGAATGGGTCTCGCAGGTTTGGCTACCGTTCAGGGAAACAAGATGGGGGATACTTGAAGATATATCCTGAACAAAAACCGTAGCGTTTACCCGCCGTAGCCACCATACCTATCACTGCCGTCGCCTGAGGGAAAGGAGGGGACACCGCGATGCGTAGTTGCTGTTCAGGCTGCTTCCAGCAACTTTACCTTTTACAACAACAAAGGGGTCTGGTGCGATTAATCCCCAAGTTAGGTAGACCTAATGCACGCGAGCACTCGTGTACCCAATAGCTAGAGTCTCGACCCAAGTAGAAGTTAGAAAAGCACCTGTATGAGCCAGCCAGCCATACGACTAACTAATTGGCATTTATGTCGAGGGTAATTATTTATTAAACCATGTGAACTTGAGAGTAGATTTGTGTTCCCCTTAATGAAGTCCATATTACGAATTCATATGAGCAGAGGGCCTCGCCCCCTATAAGCGTAGTCCTAACGACACGGATAAAGCAGAAAATGGCACCTATCATAGGCGGTCGTAAACCCAGCTGCCACGCGAGTAAACGAACCGGTGAGATGCGATCGAATCGTTTAAGAAACGAGCAATCCGTAGAATAGACAGGTCAGGATTTCGAAATGAATGGATATATATGCATTGCTTCATTTCCTCGTCATCGTGGAACCTGAATAAATTCGACCCTTTCGACGAGAGCAGAAGATTCGTGTATGATTCGCTTGGTTTGCATAGCGATGACTTTTAGGGGATAATATAGATGTGGTTCACGACGGTCTTTTTTTATCTCGAAATATCTCAAACTTTCAATATCACTAAAGAATACAATTTGAATCTTTCGTTCCTATATGCTCTAGCGCGTGCCTCCGTCATCGTCCTCGTTTTGCCCCTTTTTTCAACTCGTCCCTGGAACCGCTGGTCGGGAATGGAGGTTAGAAATAGAACCTCTCTGCATTTCGTTCTTTTGCCAACTACCAGGCAGAAGAATCTCTGCTGAGTCTAAGGGAAATATTGATTTATTCAATAGATGAATTACTTTTTAAATCAAATAATAGACGGCTCTCAACTGCACAACGCTCGAGTTGCTTGGAACTTAAACTGACTTCCTCCTGTGCTCCTAGGTATTCAAGCATCGAGTAGCTAATCGTAAGGTACTACGCATACTCCAAATACATTTACGTATGAGCAAAACGATCATCTTCGAGGTTTCCAGACCACAAGCATCGTAGATGCGACTCGAATCCTCCGGATAGCACCAGGGACAATAGGTATTCACCGGCCGAAAGAGCTGTGCTACGCACGCCGGAGTAATTCTACACAACCACCATCACGTCTTAATACCCTATATTCCTACCGACCTATCTAAGACGAGTAAACAAGCGATATATATATAGCGAGCGTAAGAAAAGCTATAAGGAGGAATCCTAATACGGACTTCGAAGCATGTGGTTTCCCGTCACCTGAGACAAGATATAGTATAGAGGACAGAAGTTAATACAAATAAACGACGATACCTATATAAACCCTTTGGTTCTTGCTATCTTCAAATCCGACCATCGTTATACGTTGGCCGTTGTCCCATTACAGCTTCGACTGCAAACAAGTATCGAGGGGGACGATAGCTTACTAGTAACCCACAAGCCCTGGCGTCTTGCTCTATCCAAAGGTTCGACCGTCAAATAAAACTACCGTTATCCGATCATTATACTACCAGCGAGAATCCGATAACTCAACCATATTTCTTCCTCCTTGCCCGTATCACGGAGGCAACGGGACAACCCAACTCACCGCCTCCCAAGGCCTTTAACGTCTTGCTTCGCGCGATGCTACCATTACTCTATACATTCAAGACTATATCCAGTTCCAAATCACGATTCATTCTGATAAAATCATATACGTCTATTCGAAATCTATCTAGCCACGTTAGATTAAAAAAGGAATATATCCTTAGTCTCTTCGATGCCTCTCCTCTATACGTCCCAAAACCCCCACCCGAAATACCCAAACTACCTACCTACATCTACTTGCACGACCCCCTACTTAAACTTCCGCTATACTAACTCTCCTCGTGCCCCGCGCTCCTACTAGCCTGTCCCCTCCTACTGACGCCCAACCGACTCATCTCAATCTCATCGCGCGCCCCCGGCTCCTCGACCGTCTGCCCCCGGCCCTCCTCCGCAAGCACCTCCCCGCTCTTTCCCCTCGGCTCGCTTTCCGTCGTTTCCCCGAAGACGCCCGTACCAACACTATTACAAACACCTTCCTGGACGCCCGAGGAGGCATCAATAGCATCAGCGGGCGCAGCGTACGAGCCGCCCACGCTCTCCATGGTAAACGGGCTAGCGGTCGGCGCGTCCAAGATGGCAAGCTCGTGGGGCGTGAAGACGCGGGGCAGGACGAGTGCGCGGACCGGGATCAGCGCGAGAATGACGACGGGGAAACCGACGGCTGCGACCGTCTGCGTGATGGCGAATGTGGCGCCGAAAGCGACGAGTTCGACGGCAACGAAGGTCCATACTGCAGCGCGGCGCGGGATTCCCGCGAGAGGGTGGCCACCGGGAGTTAGGGCGTGGTCGCGGAGTAGGAAGAGTAGTTTAGCTGTGATGCCGTTGCCTTCGAGAGCCTGGTACCCCATGATGAAGAACAGGCCGGCGAGAACGGCTTGCGGGATCAAGTGTAAGACGACGAGGAGAGGGCCTGTCATGGTGCCGAGGGTTAGGAGACCCTGTGCTAGATTCGAAACTCGTTGCTCGACCACGTGCGTCCGCTTGAGAACGTAGTGGCCTTTCGCCTCGCCGTTTTCCTCAGTGTCTGCCTCCAGCTTGGTCACGCACAGGGATTCGGTGTGGAATGGTGCCTGGGGGATTAGTCCATTCGGAAAAGGCAGTCCAAGGATACCTGCAACACCTGTGGTGAGGCCTAGTAGGAACAAGTCCCAGTGGAAGCCCGCAGGTTTACGTAGAGGGAACTCGGTCCCTTGTGCGATAAGCGACGACACTAGTCATCATGTCAGTATATTTCCCAAGTTAGAAAACTCGCTCGACCCATTATACTTAGAACTCACCATTATGGTCAAAATAGAATAGGATAGTGAGTAATATAGCGAAGGGTATAGCAATAAACACATCGCCAACCGAGATATCCCAGAAATGAACCAGCCAGTCCCTATCCGCGGTAGGGAAGAAAGCCGCACTAGTAGGGAGCTTCTCAAGCTCAACATTCTTCATGCGGCCAAAGTGCACGAAGCCAGTGAAGAAGATAACAGTGAGCGGTGTACCGTAGTCCTTAAGAAAGACACGAACGGGGTGGCGGAACAGAGGACTACCACCTAGCTCACCGCACGCATACGCGACCATGAAGACGAGCAGAGCCACCATGATAGATAGATAGAAGGGTGACCCATCGCCGAAGCGCTCGAGTACCTGAATGCCCTTTTGCAAGTAGATAAAAGCGACGTAGAACCCGAAGATATCGCACGGGAACCGCGTCACATATCGCAACCAGTTGCACGAATTCGTAACGGCGAGGATCCAATGGAACCCAAGCGACCAGAGTCCGATCCAACACATGAACGCCAGGTAGTTAGTCCCAGTGGGTGACATGATATCGTAGACGGTACTAGCCCCTACAGTCAGGTCTCGGGATGCTATGTAGAATGTAAGGACATAATCCAGGAGTAGACGTACTAATTAAACACCGTAATAGGACCCGTAACTCCCACGATAACCAACGGCTGACAAGCCAGTATAGCAAACACCACAGCGCCGAGCACCGACGCCAGCAGCACCTCATTCACGCCGTACTGCATATTTGTCTTGGTGAACATATCCAGCGAGAAGGCCAGAGCGGGCAGGATACTAGAAGGGACGTGGTGTTAATCTCTCTCTCTCTCTCTCTCTCTCTCACACACACACACACACACACACACACGCACATTCTTCGATTTCAAGACACAAGTACAGAAGCGGGCGCCAATCAACTTTTCCAGTTCTAAAGAAAGGAAAGGGTTCGGGGACACACATACTTAGCAAAATACATATAAATCGTCGACGGCACAACGCGATAATCCCACGCGTCGCGCCAGTCGCTCCAATAATACGGCACCCGGCGGCGCACGTCGTTGACCATGCCGCGGAAGAGATGGATCTTCCACCAGCTATCAGGCGTATACGCCGCGCGCTGTTCCGCGTCATTATCGCCGCGGCCAGAGGCATTACGCGACGATGTCAGCAGGGAACTCGTCCATTGCCGGATCCTGGCGCTCGGCGACGGGTTAGCTCCAGTTCCGGACTCGGCCGTCCCGCCGTGGCCGCCTCCAGGGGAATGCATCGCCGTCGGCAGGGTCAGCGAGTCTGCGGTCCGCGACATGGCGCACGAGGCGGAATATCCTGATTCTAGTTGATGACAAGTCTGTAACAGACACCGCTAAGACTTAAGACGTTATTAGTATAACTAGTATACTAGTATATAAAATAGGTATTTAGGTGGTAATAAATACCTGCCTTCACCAAGATGTATATGCGTATATGCACCTAGCCCCCTTAACTTGGGTGTATAAGTTAGGTTAGGTAGATAGAGCCGATAAATCAATACGTCCCTAGAACCTAGCTCAATGAAAGAGGCAAAGCAGCAACAATAGATTTGTTAGCTAAACCAGAATATGAATTCGAGTCCAAACGACAACATATCTATTACACGCGTTAGATTGGATGATACCGATCCAGACGCGAATAGAAATAGGCCGATGAATAAACAGCTACTATTAGGAAATATCAGTTAATTAGCCTAGACCGGCGGTGTATTGTTTTTTATATATAGTGTATATTTTTTAAAGGGCTTACAATTATTGGGTTAGTTTTCATGCTGCCGAGCCGCTTCCCCACAGAGAGACTGGGGGGATTAAGCGGGCGAGAAAAGTGTTCCTGAGGCCGCTGGTCGCTGGCTGCATCCGGGGCCGGGGGGTCGTCTGGGCGGGAAATTGAAACTCTTGTGGGCAAATGAGGAATGCCATCATCGGCGTCGTCTACGAAACTCTACTTTGTCTTCTTACATCTGAACTTCAGTCCAGTGTGTCTTGCGATTGTGAGACTTCTATCTACTATTGTACAGTATATGCAGACCGCGGCGGGGTGGCACGCCCCCTTTTTTTTCCCTTCTTATCATTATTTAAATATACATAGGATGAGTTGGGAGCTTCGTGTCATCATATATCATGACGAGAGCCCTCGACAGCTTCTGGCCGGAAATAGCCTCCCGAGCTTATTAGGTCGTATATACACAATTGCTACCTGTCATCCTCGCTCTTAACTTCCCTAAACAATGCAGGGCTTGATGGGGGCTCAGGAGCATCGGGATGCGATGGCGATGGCGATGACGGTGCTGGCGGAGGCCCCGGTGGCGCCTTGCTAGCATCACCACCGAAATACTTAGAAAAGTCGTCCCTGTCATTAAACGGTCGAGGACCTAAAATCCGAACCATATCATCCCGAACTAGCATCTCCTTTCTTAACAATTCCTCCGCAATAAGCCCTATTTCCTTCTTTCTCTCTAGCAAAAGGTCTTTGCACTTCTTATACGCCTGCTCGACAATACGTCTCACTTCTGCGTCGATGACTTGTCCTGTCCCCTCGGAGAAAGGCTTGTAGATCTTGTTGTCGTCGTTGCGGAAGTGTAGCGGCCCAACTTTTTCCGACATGCCCCATTGCGTTACCATAGCCGTGGCCATTCGAGTCACCTTATCGAAGTCGTCACTGGCTCCCGTTGTGACCGTAGGGAAGTGGATTTCTTCCGAGACTCGGCCGCCTAACGTCATAGCCATCCGGTCCATCAACTGCTCGTAGCTCATCAGGTATGCATCTCCTGGCACGTATTGCGCATATCCGAGACCTTTACCTCGTGGTATGATCGAAACCTTGAGCAGCGGGTCCGCATATCTAAAAAACCAACCACAGATAGCATGTCCGGCCTCATGATAAGCTACCGTCTTCTTTTCTTGCGGGTCTAGCACGAGCGACTTGCGCTCGAGACCGCCAATTACACGCTCGATAGCTTGCTCAAAGTGCTGTAATGTAACTGATGTAGCATTGTTCCTTGCAGCTACTCCTTATTAGTAATCGTGTCTACGTTTGTTTGATGAGATAGATCAAGAAACATACCAATGAGCGCGGCCTCGTTTACGCAGTTCGCGATATCAGCACCAGCGAAGCCCGGTGTCAGAGACGCGAGCCGTCCGCTTAGATATTCGATTTCCTCATGCGTCACAATCTTCTTCAGGTACACTTTGAAGATGTCTTTCCGTCCTGCCATTGTCGGGGCGTCAATGTTGATGTGTCGATCAAATCGACCAGGTCGCATCAACGCCTTATCTAAAACGTCTACTCGGTTGGTACCGGCAAGAACAACAACCTGATCAGTAGTGTTGAAACCGTCCATTTCCGTGAGGATCTGGTTGAGCGTGGCTTCTCGCTCATCGTTTCCTCCAAACCGCTGCCCCTCCGATCGGGACCTACCGATGGCATCAATCTCGTCAATGAAGATGATGCATGGTGTGTGCTTTCGCGCCGTAGCAAAGAGATCTCTGACCCTAGACGCACCGACACCAACGAACATCTCGACGAATTCAGAACCGCTTACACTGAAGAATGGCACTCCAGATTCACCCGCAGTGGCTTTTGCAAGCAGCGTCTTACCAGTTCCAGGAGGCCCGGCAAGAATCGCACCACGGGGAATTTTGGCGCCAAGTCTTTGGAACCGTTCTGGCTTTTTGAGGAAGCTCACAAACTCCATGATCTCCTGCTTGGCTTCGTCCATGCCAGCTACATCCGAAAACTTGACTTTGATAGCAGTCTCGTGGCTGAAACGCTTCGCCTTACTCTTTCCAAAACCAAAGATACCGCTAGATCCACCAGCACCGCCGGGACCACGTCGTGAAGCCCAGACGAGCAGACCGACAAGCAATACTGTTGGACCAAACGCTATCAGGATGTTTAATAATGGGCTTTCAGGAGCATAGCTAACGGGAATCCTCTCGCTGCTTGGAATTCCAAGTTCGTTCTGTGCTTCTTCCAAACGCCTTTCAAAAGCGTCAGCAGAGGCGATAGAAAAGTAGTAGTTAAAACCAGGACGTGTCGCAGGCGAATCAGGGTACATAGCCTTGGTCGCATCCCGGTTAAGCTCAACGCGGACTCGGTGGCCCTGAATAACCATTCTTTCAACAAGACCCTTGTCTAAGAAGTTCTTCCTCAGTTCTTGCCATGTGATTTCCCGGCCACTCTCTTCAAACAAGGAATTGTAAAGCCAATACGCAATAGCCGAGCCCACGATCATTGTGAGCCAGTCGTTTCCTCGCATCGGGTTGAGATTGGGGTCAGGGCTTGGAGGTTTCTTGTTCGAGTTGAATCCGTTGAAGCCCTGCTCGCCCTCTTTGGGCCTCTGCTGGTCATTCCCCTGCTCTTCTTTCCCCTGCTCTTCTTGCCCCTGCTCCTTTTGCCCCTGCTCCTTTCTCTCTTGCTTCCAAGTTTTTTTGGAGGATGAGTTGAAGTAGCTAGATTTCCGCTCCTTAGAAAGCTTTTCGGGATCCTTATTATTCAACGCCTCCTGGAACTTTTGCAGACCCTTCCATGCTCTCGCAAGATCGCCAGGGCTGGGAGCCCCCGCCTTAAAGTTTCTAACTAGATCCCGAAACTCTTCAGGTGTTCCCCTTTTTTTAATAATATCCAAGACCTTGCTATTACCCATACCAACCTTATCGGACATTTGCTTAAATAATTCAAACTCCTCGTCAGTTAGGTATGTCCAACCCGGGAGCAGTGGGGACGAGTCATCTTTTTTAGGACGGGGTGTTACTGGCGCGTCACCCTCCGTTGGTCCCGGCGATCGAGAGCTCTGCACTTGGGGCTTCGAATTTGGATTTTTTGGCCGAGGCGCCCCATTTCGACCGGTTTCTTTCCCGTCGTCGGAGTTCTCGGGCTTCTTTTCGGAATAGTAACGCTGTAGCTGGACTGCCCAGGCAGACTGGGAGGTGGGTAGCAGACGCGAGTATCGTATAGTAGAGCGGGCAGAGGCGCTGAGCGAAATGCTAGCGACCCGCGTAAGACCGGTCGACCGCCGCAATAAGCTTGACATGCCGGGCTAGTCCAAAAGCTTGAGGCCGATGAAGGCGGGGGAGATATCAAGGGTCCGTGAAGATTAGGAAAATGTTGAGAGCCGAGTTATCTCATGAGGACGTATACGGCAGCGGCAGCGGCGACGGCAGCGGCCGATATTACGGGCGGGTAGTGTAATGGATTGAAACCGAACAAGTGGTTTATGCCGGAAGGATTTCTAACGTTTTCTGAGGTAAATCGTGTGTTAGAAATCGAAATCGCCTCGCTCTGTCAGTCAAAAAGATGCGGCGGGTGATCATTTCAAAGCTTCCGTTGCGCTAGATTAACCCCAAACAGATTAGTACTCATAAGCTAAGCTATCTCAACTACGTAGCACACGTGACTCATTCGGAGGTAGCGGGGTTTTGACCAAGAACCTGCGGTGCATCCCTTTTATTCCATAAAGACAATATGCACAAAATGCACAAAATGGATATCTTCACGGGCAGGCTGAACCCAAATAATTCAAAGCTACTGGACATACTTACATAGGTCACAGTAGGTCTCAAGTCATCAGACATCCTTTGAAGATGGCATCACAGAAAAAGCCCATTTCAGTCGGGTCCTGCATACTTGGCAGTACAGCTATAGAATATCAAATAACAAAGCTTGGTTCACAATACCACCATAAGGTACTACTAGATCGATTACATTGAGGTCAATAAATATTCGATTGCCCAATAATAGGTAGTTTTTTTTTGTTGCTATTCTAGCTACGGATAACGGATAACGAAGCATGTCGATATTCTCTTGCTACGTGGTACAACTACCTAGTCGTCTGCTACTAGGTACTGTTCAATATCCTTATCCTCTTCGTCTTCTTGTAGCTCTTGGAGTCTCTTCTCCTCGGCATCCAGCAACTTCTTTATCATGTTCCTCTGGCGCTTCCGCGCCTTCTTTCCCCAATCCGAAGCCGTGGTTTCCGCTTGCTCCTCGTCGTCGTCGCTATCCTCAGGTATACCGACTTCGCCGCGTAATTGATTAGGCGATATTTCCGCTTGCTTTGCCTCTTCTTCTGCGAATTGTTTCTCGAGCTGCTTTTCTTGGTGCTTGGCGCCGAGTTTGATGATATACGGTCGCAATAATGCATATGCACCAACGATGATGACTAGCCGAATCCATTCCTTCGCCGTCATAGACGTAAATGACTCGGCGATGTTATTGCTAAAGCGGTCTCTAACCAGCGTATAGAGCTCGGATATCGAATCGAATAGATGGGCGACTAGATCTATGAGTTCCGACATGATGGGCAGATGGCTCTCTTTCTCGTTGTAGTGAAATAGATTGTTCGGCGATTCGAAAGAATAGAAAAAGGGAAAAGAAAGAAACTGGGAGGTGAATTGTTGCGTAATATCTTATCAAATGCCTCAAAGGTATTCGGTAATGGGGCAATGATAAATGACATGCAAATAAACATGCAAATGTACAAGGCTTGTGAGACTTTTTAAGCCATAAGAATGGTTCAGAATCCCTGCTTGCCGCGTGAAATAAGCATCCAAAAGTAAAAAAAGCCGCTTGGTAACCTTGGCGCGCACGGTCCCCTAATATAAAATAGGTACCTAGCGCTAAACTTTACTGTGTACTGCATAGAACTTTAAACTTTCAGTGTCCCAACGCGTCTGACGTAACCGAGACGCGTTTAACTGCCGATTCCTCCCCCCTAAAATTATACAAGTCCTAAAATTTAGACGGAACACCATAATCGGTCATGGCGGATAATTCCGAGGAAGAGGTGCGAGAGGTAAGAGACCACTCTAAAACGATTCTCTAGGAAATATCTGCTAACTCAGTAGTTATAACTAATAGCAACTAAAAGCTGCACTATGGTTCGCTGTGGGGAAGATGGTTGACGAAGAGACCCTGAGAAGAAACAGAAATGTCACTCCCCAGTTTATCGGCGCTTTGACAGAGATGGTCTGGGCTCAAATAGGTATCATCATCACCAACATTCATGAATTCCTAAATTCTATCATAATAGCAACATAGGTAGGCTAACTAACCTATTCCAGAAAACGTTGCGTTGGATCTAGAGAACTTTAGTCGCCATGCAGGACGCACTACCATCAACACAGACGATGTCCTTTTACTTGCCAGGCGAAATCAAGATCTCCATGCCATTATCAAAGATTTCGTGGACAAGCAAAAGGCTTCCAAGGCAAAGGGCAAATCGAAAAGATGAGACCATCTCTTATATCCACAAAGGGTTAAGGTCTAGTGATAATTCTTATTCGCATATTAGCCCAAGACATAAAGAGGTGTGCTTAGGCTATGATCCCTTGATATCAGACCTAACTACATGTTTACCTCCTAACATGAGTGGTTGGATGTCAGTAAGCAATTGTGTAATCATCTACTCGGTTACCCGGGATGAGAATTGCAGCAAGAGGAAGGGCACGGCGGGGACGCCTACATAGGCAGATTTCTAGAAGAACTAGATTTCATCGCAACAGATACCCGCGAGTTTTCTCCATGTCGTCTATCAGAATTACGTCCCTGTTATAATGAGATAATGCCTAATGTCTCTCATAGGTACTAACGACAGTATTAATAGAAATATCATGCATAACAATATCGTGTGGATCTACCTTGTTGGATATTTCTGTCGCCCAGACTGTGTCGCCTACTTTGCGGATGATGGGCCCCGTAAGCGAAGAGTACTTCTAGAGGCGTACGTTGCGTTTTTTTTTAATAAGAGAAGGAACTTCCTCAGCACAACACTCGTCACAATCCCAGACATACCTTATATTTTGGCCAGACCGGTCTTGTGTTCAGCAGTCACATGTTACATGCCCTATATAATATTATCACTGAAAATAAAACAATCTTCTGTAGCTACAGAAGGGGCATTCTTGTTAAGAAGCCAAAGATTATTAAAATACCTGCATTGGATTAAGATATATCTGTCTTTCTTTTCCCGTGCCCCTTACCTATATCTATAAGGTTTATGCAATATGCTTGCTATGTTTAGGAAAGGGGCGATTTAAACTTGAGGCATCTGATCATTATATGATTAAAGTGTATTGAAATGATCCGACTTCGTACTAGCCGGATAGATCAAATCGGCGTAAAAGACCTATGTACCTTCTACCATTAACAGGCTCAGATAATTTGTACGTAGCAGATGTGATAGTACCATAGTGGTGACGCCCTCCCGTAGTGAGAAACGGTGCATTCGCTACATTGGCAGCTTTAACCTATGCACCAATCACATACACTTAGCTCGGCTATATCTGCTAGGCTGAAGATAGACAGTCTGTTTACGATCTCGACAACTTCTCCCTCGCTCGAGGGCGTGACATCCGCGCAGAAGTTGAGGCCCCCATAGGCATTCCATCGTGCCGTCGCGCTGGTAAAGGCATCGGAGCCGGGATCTTAAATCATGGACTCGGTAGGCCATTGATCATCCCCGCGCGCGGCTATTCTTCCCTTTGAGCTTGAGCTTGAGCTTGCATGGCGCTCTAGGCAAAATCGAGGAGATTCTTAAGGAATTACTACTTCATCCCAAAATTAGTCAATCAGATCAATACGAAAAGTGCGCTAGAGAAAGAATTACAACTACCAACTGCTTGCAAAAATAGCTTGCTGATTAAAGCCTAACTAGAAACAGGCTCAGATTATGTTGTTATACATCATGATTTTTGGTAAGTTAGACAAAGGCTACCTCAATCCCTTACTTTGGAACCTCTCCTGGGTACACTCATCAAGTGGCAGCCCGCTTTCCTCAGCTTCTTAGTACTGATTGGGTCTGCTTGTAATTTATCTTTTTACCAAGTTAGTCAAAGCGGTACATGATAGAATTGTCTAGAGAGTGAAAAGCTATAAAGGCTTACGAAGATAAGCCGAGCCCGGCTTGATACTTGAGGTTACTGAGGAGTTCATACTATAGAGTTGAAACCAATACCCTTTTCAACCTCAACATCTCATCTGAGTTTATTTCTCAAAGGTACGAAGTACATAATAATAAAATATACCCCCTTATAGCACCAGACCTTCATTCTCATTGTTTGATGCTGGAAAGGTTAGCTACCTCTTAGAATAATAAGTGAGTGCACACTCGTCAACACGCATACTGTACCGATCCGTGAATAAGGATTTACCCAAAACATCCCTATCCCTAACGTCCACGGCACCTTATCCGGGTAGACAACTTTAGTAATGACATGGGTAACTGCTACAGCAGTTATTCATGATATTGCCCTAGAGCTTTGGGTATATAATACCCACGCCCTTGGAATACTCCTGAACTAGACACGATAGTAGCACTCTCGCACTTGAGGACATAAAGCAGTGGCTTTTACAAGAGTGTCGATATAGACATCAGTCCAATATGATTTCTATTTTTGGAAATAGTATGAATAATAGTCATATGCTCACGACTGCAATTATGTATTAACCAAGTCAATAAGCTGATGACACCAGCAATGCACTAGCTACCACTCAAGCTTCGACGATGATAAAAGTAAAATAGATATATTTATCTATATTGATCTTCAACGACATAAATTTTATGAAATGTCGGGCTAAAGATAAGCTATCAGAGGTCCACTTCCTACGAAAATATTCATAGAAAATAATGAAAGTCGAACAATCGTATTCTCAAATCCTCCATGTAATAAAAGCCGGAAAAAACGAATCCATAATTTTTAAGAAGAGAGCTTTAAACCCCTCTTTGTACTCTAACTTAACTAGGAGTATTCACATGCTGCGAATCCTCCTTTAGTAAAACACCCGATGTTCTTTTCGATACATACCAAGATGGTTCCTTGTTGCGACGGATGAGACGGATGACGATCGTCATTAACTGTTGAGTGTGGCTAGACAGCCAAACCCTGCCCACTACCAAAGCCACAAGCTATGACGCCATTCTGTGGCTTCGTTGGTTTCGTAGCGAATCAGCGACGATATCCCTTCTCTATCCCTGTCGGGACCCAACGTTACGTCGGCAGATCGGCACTAGTGCGACAGGCCATCGTCGAATGAGAAGCTTTCTTGAGGGGGTAGAGGGGCAGTACCCTGCTATAATGGCGCAGATTGGGATAAACTCTGACCGCATTCGTCATCGTTAATTTTCATGTATGTACAAAGCTTTGGATCGAGTAGAAAACTGTGTCTATCATCGGCCTCCCGCTGCAGTACAAACGTGTGGAGGGACCCGAAACGATATCTTTTCCATGTACCTATCCTGAGTAACGTCAATTCTCTTTCATTGACCGACCGCCTAAAGGAAAAAGTGACACACACTTGCTCACCTTAACCCACCTATTATTTCAATCTTCCTCCTTTGTCCCCGGTTTATATTATTGCTACTCCTGCACAAATCTTTTGCGTCTAGACCTTTTCTAACCTATCCCCGGAATCTCTGGAAGCTCTCCATCTCAACTCTACTCATCCTCACCTCACCTTACCTCACCTTACCTCAATTCCCGATCCATTCCACAACGTACTACTCCGTACAACTGCGATTTGATCGTACAGATTAGCAAACAACCGCCATCATGGGCGCCAAAGCAGGTCTCGCGCTCAAAGTAGTTCAATGGTTCATCCGCGGCGTGCAATTCGGTTGCAGCGCTCTCATTCTCGCACTCTTCTCGTACTTCCTCGCGGTGCTTGCTAACCGTAATTTGCCCATACCAACATGGACGCGTGCCGTTGAGGGTATCTCGGGTATCGGTGTGCTCTATACCATTCTCGGGCTTCTGCTTTTATGTTGTCTGGCCGGTCACCCCTTCACCTCTTTCATCGCCATTGTGTTGGATATCTGCTTCATCGGGTCCTACATCTACGTTGCTAGCGCTACTCGTGGTGGAGCCAGCAGTTGCACCGGCACGGTCGATACGCTTTTTGGCACCGGTCGTGCTGAGGACTTGATCGACAATCAGCACCCTACTTATAGACAAGTTTGCCAGATGGAAACTGCTTGTTTGGCCGTCTCGATTGTAGCAGTGTAAGTGTTCTTGTTCCGGGTTGTTCGTATAACTTACTAATTGATATATCAGTGTCTTCTTCCTCTTCTCTGCGCTTCTCGAGGTTGTCCTCGTCCGCCACCGACGTAAGGAACAGCGTTTTGGCCCTAGTCCCGCCAACAACTACACGTCGGGTTACGGCGGACGCAGAGGCATATTCGGACTCTTCCGCCGAAAGAAGACTGTAGATAGCCCAAACCCTAACATCTTGCCTGAGCATACCCACCCAGACCAGATGCGCCAGAGCTATAATACCGAGACTACAGCTGTCGGTCATGAAAATGGGGTGCAAAATGGGGTGCACAATAACAAATTTCAGTATGACGGTCAAGTTGCGTACCCCGAGACCGGCACTGCGACAGCGCACACTACGCCGGCTGGTTACCGTTACTAAGCGTACACCGCTCTTCTAACTGAGAAGTTTGTTCATGAACATGAGGGGCATGAGGGGAATGGTACCTTTTAAGAGAACGATACCTATGTATGAACTGGGAGTGATACCCTGCACGGGATTGACATATGGGATGCTGTCGCTCGCTGCTTTATATGAATCCTGATGAGATTGCTAGACATGGCTGGGAACATTGTGGCGGAATCGTAATGACCGTGTTGAGTTTCTTAATCGTCTACTATGACGCATGTAACGTAAAGACTCTTAGCCACCACCAGCATTAATTTTGCTTGGCTGGTATGAATATAATAGAATGAAGTTAAATAAGAAGCAAAGCATGTTCATCGTTTGCCGAATAGACATAAGTCGAAAAATGATAACTATAGTCGTATAAATTCGAGGTCATCTAAAGAGTGTCAACGTAAGATGTGAGTCCAGAGAGGGTATATGATGTAGATAACATGTCGAAGAGAAAGGGGGAAAGGGATATGCGAGGCTATTGTAGAGGGTTGAATTCAGTAGATATTAAACTACCAGGTAACTGGATCATCATAGAGGCTCTAGCATGCAAGTATGCCTATCGTCAGAAGTTTAACCAGTTCTATTAAGCAACTATACGCTCAAAGTCCCCTTCGTGCTCGGCACCTCGCCCTCCTTCCCGGGTATCCTAGCAGTAGCCTGCTTGATCGCAACAGCAAGGGCCTTGAAAGCGCTCTCGGCGCGATGGTGATCGTTCTCGCCCCGGAGGCAGTCGACGTGCAGTGTGATGCGGGCGCCCTGGGCGAAGCTCTGCAGACAATGCGGGATCATCTCGGTGCTTAGGTCGCCGATCTTCTCGCGCCTGAGCCCGAGCTCGACGACGCTATACGGCCGGTTCGATAGGTCGATGACGGCGCGCGAGAGCGCCTCGTCGAGCGGCGCATATGCCGATCCGAAGCGTGCTAGACCCGTGGCGCTGCCCAGCGCGTTCGCGAAGGCGTATCCAAGCGCTATGCACACGTCCTCGGCGGTATGGTGATCGTCGACTTTGCGATGTTATTCTTCGTCAGCGGATCTTCGTTCTTTCATCATGTCATGTTGCTGGGCGGGCTCGTACTGTGGAGGTCGCCCTTGCACGCCAGGGCTAAGCTCCAGCCGGCGTGCTTGGCCAGGGCGTGGAGCATGTGGTCGAGGAAACCGATGCCTGTGTTCACGCTGATGGTTTGCGATTTGCTGGACTGACTGGCATGGCTCTCGGCGACGGACGTTAGTAGGCGGGGGTCGGTATGTTCAGGAAATGCCCCGCCATCGAGGTTCAGAGCCAGCTGGATTTTGGTCTCGTTGGTGTCGCGGGTAAACGCCGCCCATCGCGGGGTAGCTTTCTCGGAACCCATTTTCGTTTAGGTGTGTCGTTTGCTCCCGAGTTAATCAACTTCTTAGTTTTCTAAGTTGCCAATTACTTGGGGAGAATGTATTAACTTGTAATTTTTTTGATACGCCGAGGATCGGCTTATGCAAAGGCGAAAGCTATAGCGTCAGACGATTGACCAATCATGACAAAGCTAATTGGTTCGATTTAGGGTTTTCTATAGCGCTACAGTACCTCACCTGTAGGCCACCATAAGGCTTCTGCCGATCAGTGGGGCATACCTACTATAACGTATATTCTGGCCAACCAAAAAAAGCAATAAAACATTCCGTTAGCATTTCTATTGACCTTGATTGGAGTAGCTTCGAAAGCTTGAGGAGCCGGTTCGGGGACTCAAATATACCGACGAGTCTTCGCGGGAGATCCTTCGTAAGCTCTGGCTATGTCTAAAACCAATAGCTACAAGCGTCAAACCCTGCGAGGGCAAATAATGGTCTTCGATGCCTACCCTGTTCTTTTGGAAATACCGCTCTATTTAGGTAAATATGAACAACGTAGCCCTTTACGACGTCGTATACTCGAACACAGTCGATGAGCGGACCGTCCCGAAGACCAGGGTATTGAGTTGAAAGCAAAGTCCATGGCTTTAAGTTACGCTTTAAGCATAATTGCCGATGTTTGGCAGCGGACAACTTGTAGCTAGATTACCGCTTTTGCCTTTCGCTTTTTGGTATTATGGTGCTATTCTTTAAGATTCACGTTGCCGTCCATCCTTGTCTTAAGCTGCATATTCTGTCTTAGAGGCGCTGGAGCTAGAGCTATTTGTTAAATCATGTATGAAACCCACAATATAATATTGAGGCTTCCGGTGAAATCGAATAGCCAATGAGGGATAGGTAGTCTATCCAGGATAAGAGGAGAGGAATATTTCTCCTAGAATAAGACTCGTGCGTTAACGGGAAGTTGACATGAATATTGGGCATGTTGTGTGTTGTGTGTCGTGTGTCGTGTGTAAGCTAGCTACCATTTACCAACTTGGTATAGACATTAAAAAGGCATATTTATGTGCTTAGATGATAAAAAATAAACATAAACATACGGCTTCAACTTCACATTTATCAGATGAAGTTAGGTATATGAGTTCGCAACTAAACAGATGGCGGCTTATTAACCAATTCTTTTTCCTAATTGAGTAAGTGGGTTGCGTTACCTGTGTGCTTAGCTTATCTCTTATCGCTGATAAGTAAAAGTACAATTTTATTTCTACAATCTGCAGGTCGCGCCAAAGTCTTCAAGCTACATCTCGTCGCATCAGAACTTCTGTAAAAATGGCGCCTTCGAGAACAAAAACAGTCAAAAATAAACATGCCGCGAACAAATCCGGTATAAGTTCCAGCAAATCGTCAAAAGGCGGTCCGTCAGATGGCATCGTCAAGTCAAAACGGAAGGGTCCGGTGCTCTCGAAGCAAGTAAGAGGGAAAAACATTCCTGACCTACTGAAGAAGAAAAAGAAGAGGGTCTACTCGGAGAAGGAATTGGGTATTCCAGAATTGAATATGGTGACCCCGGTCGGAGTTACAAAGCCTAAAGGGAAGAAGAAAGGCAAAGTCTTCGTAGACGACAAGGTACGGCCAGTTCGCATGTGGTTATTCCATTTCAGCCAACGAATTAATGCTAACATGTGTCGCTGCGCCAATAGGAAAGCATGAACACGATTCTAGCCATGGTCCAAGCCGACAAGGATGGGGAGATCGAATCCAAGATGATTAAGGCCCGACAGATGGAAGAAATCCGCGAGGCGAGAAGGGTCGAGGCAGAGAAGAAGGAGGACGAGAAAAAGGCAAAGCTCGACGAGACCAAGGATTCGCTGAGGAGAAAGAGAAAGAGGACCAAGCAGTCTAATGAGAACGACGACGGTGATGGAATCAAGGAAGTCGCATCTGCTGGGACCAAGGCCACCAAACCCAAGAAGAAGAGGGTATCGTTCGCCTAGGAGATTTTGAATGGGAATATGAATGACTGGACGGCGTTTTGGCGTTGATTCGGGCCACCCCCGAGAAAATACGAGCATTGATCGATAAGATTAGCATCAAAGCATTTTCGTGATACCCCTAGGACGAAATTAATACGGCCATTACTATGTGCATGGGTCCAATCAAGCTACTCGAGTTAGTTTATCATACAACTAGAAGATGGTTCCAATCCCAATCGTATTACCTCCTCAAACATACGCCTTACGCTCGGGATGTAGCTTAGAAGGGTATGCGAACCGACGGCATAGCCTTCCACTGCCGCCAACATGATTAACATAGTCGTCGACCCTGCTATATAGCACGCTTGCGAAGAGGTCCATTAATAAATGACTAAGTAGCGATTTAATTAAGCTAAGCGCTTCAAAAGCTGCGAGTCAATATAGGTAAATAGATAAGTATGGGTAGATGCTCATAAAATTGGTGAGCTTAATGAGGGTGGATTCGAGAACAATGCAACTCTAAAATATAACGAGCTTTTCCACCTAAGCTCAAAATAGGCCTCGATGAGGTGTTGGAATGTTTTAGAAAGGAATCAAGTATTAGATAAGTTTAAGAATAACTATTCGCCTGCTTATTGTATGGGCGAATGGTAGGTGTCATAATAGATATGTTTTTATTGATTTATTACTTTCTAGTGACAGACTACGGCTGTGGGGTTGAGAGTATCGTTATTATCTAGATTTTTAGTATGTCTCGTTGATATTCTTGATATTTTTCTAAAGTTGTTTAAATGAACCGAGATATTTGTTTCTAATTGACCTGTTATCCGGTGGTCGACGCCGCATTACCAGCAACTTGGGAGCCTATTTGAGAATCTGTTTTACCTTGCCGTAGGGCGCTGTCGACTTCTTTTTTAGGGTCCAAAAGTGAGATTTAACAAATCATCAATACAAACCAACACCCGTATCACAACTACTCTTATTGTAAGGTGGTACCCTCCCAAGCAAGTATCACCCTCCTTGATTAGAGAATGCCAAATGTAAGAAAAGAATTGATAGCTTGGTCAAATTTAGCACACCATGTTTTCAAGTGCTTATACCTTCTTGTAAGACCTGAGGCTAATCGAAAACTGACCGTGCACTCGGTTCTTCAGTAAGAGATGATAGTACATGAGCGTCATTATTGGCAAGCCACTTACACTATATATAAAATTCGATGAGACAGTCTCTTTTAGGATGCATGCAAATTGTATTGTTATGTAGTACCCTGTTCAAGACTTTACTTAGTTACCCCTTTCGGATAATTTTGAAGACATGTATTGTAAGCTTCGCACGTAACAAGATGTTGAAACACGAGCAACGTACGCTCGTAAGGTGCTAGATATCATCTAGTTAGGCCAGAAAAGATAAAGCGACGAATCTCACGCGTTGTTACGAGTCTAGAGTGCGTATATCGTATGCGGGCCGGTGCAAAAATAGGGCGTAGACCGAAGCTAATATACCTGGCTGGTAGCTTGTGCTAAACTAGGAGCATCCTAGCTTGAGATTCGTGGTCTCACAACAACATTATTAATGCCTACTTTATATATATGCGTACGTATCCCTTCCTTTACTCAAGTAAACATTGATATACCTAGTCATTCAAAGTAAACAATCTCACTTTTCTTTCTACTTTGGACTTTGGACATTACCGACCCCATTACCGGAGAATCTCATATGAATTATGACGCAATCCCCCTAAAACAAGATGATTTTGGAAAAGCCAAGTACCAGAGCTGCGCGTAAGCACCCGCAGTCCAAATAAGGCGGTCCACCTTTTGGCCTGGGGACCCTGACGCCATCTAATATTAGGCTGTAAGCCCAAACCGATCTGAGTAGACCAAACAGACTACGGACTGAGCCGGTCCTCTTAGCAAGAATGTGACAATATGTAGGTATGTACATAGTAGGAGAAGATGAGGAGAACAAAGATGTGAGAGTTTCTGTAGGAGTGAGAAAAACTCGGTTCAGATGGTGATACGAGCGCAGTTATGAATGAATCATTTATCTGTTAGAAGAATCAATCAATCCGAATCGCGTGGCTTTCCAGTAGACAGATCTGCACCAAGGAATACGAGCTGCTCTGCTACCCGCCAACCATAAGTTGTCTAATCTACGATGGGCCGGGTGGTTTGCATATGGCGGCTACACGCGAACGGATCGAATCATGATTTTACATAACGTGCCCCACAAGTCAACCGCCCAAACTAGTCAACCGCCCAAAATTTAAAACAATTGTAAATAATTCAACAAAAACAATTAAAATTGATTAAAATTTTAATTGACTATTATTATTAAATGGTGTTATTATTACTTTATACGTTTTTATATTATAACTAATAGTATTGCAAATTTTATAGCATTATTAACCTCGGCGTTGCCGTTTTAAAAGACTTTCCTCGGCAACCTCCTTAAAAGCGTCAAGATTTATACCCTCTTTTTTAATGCGTATAGCCTTTCTTTTAGCTTAGGTAAGAAGTCCTCCACGTTGTAATTGCTTATTTTTAACGCGCTTTAAAGTCGGTAAGTAGTATATTAAAATATTTTAGGCGGTTGACTAGTTTGGGCGGTTGACTTGTGGGGCACGTTATGTATCTTGCTTACCTGTGGCTAACCTTGTGCGGGTTTAGGTTGCCAACCTACTGCAGTCAAAACTTCGTGTTCCTGCATTGGTTACAGGCTTGGCATGTTGGTTTGGGGTATCGAGAAGTACAATTATATTCGTCCGCCCGTGCACCAATGTTTTGATATATCATAGTTTATATATACCTACCTACCTAGATACCTTACAATGCCTACTTATCGAATCAAGTTGATATCCACCATAATGATATGTAGAAAAGTCTTAAAAGGGGCTTCTCAAGAGATAAAACGTCATGAATGGTACAACGACCTGGTGATGATGAGGATGCAAGAGATGCCCGTATGTTTGTAAAGAAATCCCCGTCTCGCGGACCAATCGTAGAAGGGCTTGCCCATGTCCTTGTCCGTAGTTATTAAATGTGATTGGTCCGTATGTTTATGACCCCCTGGTCAGAGGGACAACGCTCAGCCCAAGCGAAATGAGCAGCATCACCCTTCCAGTATTGTCGCCCATTTACAGCGAGACAGGCCCCCAAATTCAGTGCCATCAGTGCCATGTCGAGAGTCCGACGAAGCTAACGATGCTCGGGGGGTGTCCACTGATGAGAAGTATCTCATTTTAATTTTTTGGATTGGCAAACATATTATCAAAACGCTCCCGCCGTCGGGTTTCATTAATTTCTCTCCTCTCCTTTACCTCTCTTTATCCTCACCTTAACGTCCGGCCGACCGTTCGTCGCTTGTGGGTGTCGATGTTTCGGTTCCAGAGCCTCTCGCGCCAACAATGAGGATCCGGCAACGATAGAAGGACTACAAAGATAGAAGAAGTAGGAAATAGGGGACGATAATTAATACGATAATGATGGGATGCTATTCTGGACGATCAGCAACCTAACCTAACGCATTCATTCTCTTTCTCTCTTTTACCTGCCAGCCAGCTAGCCGCAGCTCTTTTTTATTTATATTTTAGTCAGGCCAAAAACGAGTCCATCCAAGCAGCGAACCGCGAACCGCAGACCGCAGACCGCGCCCCCAAAATCCACCAGCGAATCCGACTCTGCCTCTAAAATAAAACTAAAAAACCTGGTATTCTAGTACACACGCTTACACGCACGCACGCACTTTGAAAAAAAAAAGCTCGTATTTCTCCAATTCACCGCCACGCGCGATGACAACCCCAGTCTCGGGGTCTTCACTCCCTCAGACCCGAGACGTACATCAACACAATCATTTTCACAATTCCAGAGAAAGCCACCACCATCATTACCATCACCACACTCACCACACCCACCACCACGCTCGTTCCCAAAACAGTAACAAAAGGGGCCATAAACGCACCGATTCGGAACCCACTATAATCGTCACGACCGTTTCCGTTCTTGAGCTTATCGACTCCGCCGGTGTCCCCATTACTACCCAGACCCTCACGCCATCCACATCGACACCACCTGCGTCGTCTAGCAATATCACTAGCTCCGAACCCGACGTTAGTGTCGACCCGACGAGCACAACAAGTTCAAGTTCAACTTCAAGTTCGAGTTCTACTCTAGGCTTACCTACTTCTTCCCCGGGAACTAGCGACGATGAAGGCGACGGCCTCACTTCGACTTCCATCCCCACGATAGACCCGACCGTAGCACCGTCGGAGTCTTCGATGCCTACTATCTTTCCCACGTTATCTTATTCGCCTTTGACGTCCACTCCTTTATCAGGCTCTCCCGTTTTTCCATCCTTGGCTGGCGTGACTAACACAACCCAATGTAAGTCTCTTATTTTTTAATAATAATTATTATTACTACGACTATAAATAATTCCCCATCGCTGTCGTTCTGCTATTGGTTTCTAACTCATGCGTAGCTTCTTCGTCCACTCTTTCTGTCAACAGTACTAGTTCTACTTTGCTACCTTCATTTTCCATCGAGGGTTTCAATTCCTCCTCGTCCGAGTCATCTAGTACTGTACTTTCGTCCGATTCTTCTTCTTCTACTACTACTACTACTACTTCCTCTTCTTCTTCTTCTTCGCCAACGACTACCACTCGCTCCAACCCCACGTCGACTACTTTTGGTTCTTGGGGAGTATCTACCCAAACGGGAGACGGTACTGTTGGCGTTGGCAATGCACAACCATCATCTTCGAGCGCCGTAGCGACCGATGGCGACTCTGTTTCGAATGGACCCGAGGCGGCCACGGTCGCAGGAAGCGTTCTAGGAGGTGTGGCTGCACTTGCAGGTATTTTGATTCTTGCACTCTTCCTTCTCCGATGGAAGAAACGCCAGAATACTATTAAGCTCATGCGGGGCTCCACGAGTGAACGAGGTCCCGGCGGCGGTTTGGTTGGGAATTCCGGTCCCGGCGGAGGAGGAGAGGGCGGTATGACTGAAACACGGCGGCGTTCAGTTCCCTTTGCAATTCCCGCGGCTCTCGCTAGCTTGACTGGACATAAACGATTCTCCGGACGCAGTGCCGCCTCTGCGGATGGAGGTGAGCGAGGATTTTCCAAGGTTTCTGGGAGGAAGTTACCTCCGGTTATTCAGTTTGGTGGGGATGGCTATTCGGATCCCCGCGATACTATTCTAAGTGATCAGTCCATCGATTATCGAGACTCGGCCTTCCCTGGATTAGGTGGTGGGCTCGCACCGACTAGGTTAGCTGTGGGTGCCCCGATGCGGCCGGAAAGCGGAATCCCGGTCTTCAACCCGGGGCCGGCTCGGACCCCAAAGACGGAACAGGCACCTTTCAGTCCCGTTTCAGAACTTGAACCCCCCCGAGATCCACTTGGACGATCCCACCCTTCTCACGATGGGTCGAGTCGTTCCCACGGCTCAGCCTCCCGGTTTACCGAGGAGTTATGACCCCCTGGATAGATACCCTGCTTTTTCATCTTTGCTTTTGTATATTTCGCTTTTTTTTTTTTTTTTTTTTTTGTGATGATACCTGTTTGTTATTTTGTGTCGACATATACTCGTCACGGCATCGGGTTGGCGTTGATATTTGAAATAAAAACTCAACGGGTTATGGGGGAAAGGGATATAAAGCTACTTTTGGCTTTCTTCGCCCCTACGTCAGATGTAAAACCATTTCTTGTAAATAGTCAAATGTCGTTCCGGGCCTTCGGGCTGGATAACGACAATGAGAGCACGATATTTGGGAGTTGAGGTTGCGGCAGCTATCTCCTCTGGTCTGCTCCTAATCAAGCATAATTGTCATCAAACATATTTTGTCCATGTCATCTCGGATCTTGTGTTGCAATCGTTTTCAGGACCTGAGTGGAAATACTTGCCTTATTATGCCGGTGAATAAGCCTGTCAGGCGTGTACGGATCTTAAGCTAGTTTATTCCCATTAGGGATAGTTGAAGAAGCAATCCTTCACTACGAATTTACGTTGCTATGTACTAAGCATTTATTCCTACGCACAAATGTGCATCGAATTTCACTACCTAATATGATCAACCGAGGGGCTCGTTCAGATGAGCACCTAGTTGAGACGGCTATGAAACACGACTTGGTCTCTTATCCACGATTCCGTTGACGCTTTGGCCCGTTATTACAAATCGGCTTCTCTATGCCGCCATGGCGCCATACCGCCACGCTGCTTGGTGACAAACGCCCAACTTGGAAAAAGTGACGGAGTCAAGTCAGGTCTAGTTCGTTGGTGTTTACGGATCCGTACGCCGAGGATCTTTTCCCCGGATGACGCTAACACACACACACGCTTGTAGATAGATCTCGTCACCCGCTTGGGTGTTGAGTCTAGACTAGATTCTTCACCTAGGTGGATGAAACCAAGGTCACTTCTGCAAGGCGATCAAGTCTAAGGGTGTGGATGCACGTAACCTAGCGCTGGGGAAGGATTGAAGCTTATCAACCATGTGTGCATGTAGTTGGCGGCCTCCGACATCAAACGTTCTAGTGGTATTTGAATAGGTATTATCATATGTTTTCCACCATATGTCGTCACAATTTTGACATGATGCGTAAGCTCACTGGATTAACTTGAAAATGTGTAGAATAACTTCTTGAATCTTAGAATTTCATAAGAGGATATTGCCTCGGTTTCTATTAGTTAACTAGGTTAATATTTTTATAAACTCCGAAATCCGTCCCTCCTAACGCTCTGATCTGGAAAAAGACGCTTGAAATGAAAAAAGACATTGGTTTTCTTTATTACTAAAAAAGGCAAGAGGGGCTAGACTAGGACTCGGGCACTTTTCTCTACCTATGTAATATCCAAGGGTCTAGTGTATCATTTTGTCCGATCGAGTAAATTCTCGACCTCCTCGACAATCTATTGTCTTAACTTAAGGGGAAACTAAGCAGCTTGGTATATATATATATTTTCGACAAGATGATAAATCTTGTTAACTACCTAAGTTGTAAATTATAATACAGACATGAGAACCGAGGGTATTCAAGCGTCTATCATACCAGGCCCTACCCGTACTCAGGGCGAAAGGATCCCCTCATAATACCACCCCAGACCCTTTAGTGTTATCATAGTAAATTCTGATTCGCGGGGGACTTGAATCCCACTGAATCATTGTCTGGACTAGGAGGGAGTGCTCGCACGTCCCTGACAGTCAGTAGTCAGCTTAGCGTTACTAACAGACATCATAAGGTCTCAGACAACGAAATTCCCATTCTGCTTGTCTCAAATATTACGAGTTTTTTTTGTTTTTCTCTTGCCTCTCCTTCGCCCTGTGGAAGAAGACAAGAATAGTCAACAATTCCCTTAAGCCACTTTCTAATAAACTATTGGTCTTGACATCTAAGCCACGCCACATAGTCTAGCTAGTTATATTGTTGTCCCTAAAATATCTTTGTGTTCAGTCAGGATCGCTTGGCGCCTAAATCTTCAATCTGGTACCAAGTTTAGAAAGAAAAAAAGCGAGTACGAATCCGCGGTACATCGTACAGAGCCCTTGTACATACAGCCCGGCGTTTAAACCCGACCCAAGCCCCCTTAGATAATTCACCGAGCGAATAGCGCACCTGCTAAGAGTCTCGACTGGAGACAGACCCGTTGGCAATTTCGATAAAGACAGGCAAGGAGATCGATCACTGTCCATGGGGGAATGCTTTAAGTCCGCAAAATCCTAGTACCACACAAAGTACCTACCTGAAAGTTACCTAGGCTGAATTATTTCTCCAAAACGTCAACTTACATTAGTTAACTCTCTTAATTAACCAAAACCACCCCGACGATTTTCTTATCTCCCGGAGCGACAACTTCCAACCGAAACAACGACTAAGTCCGTAGAAGAGAGGCTATGGATCACATGAGAGTTGATCCCGGGGGCTTCCAGATACCAGGAATGCACCGTCCGCAACTGATGAATCAACCACCACAGATATTCGGAGGTTATAGTCACGATGGCTTATCCGTATTACATCCGGAACTCGCGGCGCAAATGGCTTTCGATCCATCGGCGCTGCTTGATGACCCGAACGATGCAAAGAGAAGGAGAATTGCACGGGTGAGTTATCACCAGTTTCGGCTGTGCAACTGTACATAGGTTGACCTGAGTAAAATGAAGGCTTGCGATATGTGTCGGAAGAAGAAAATCAAGTGCGATGGAAAGCTTCCCGCGTGCACGCATTGTATTAACTATAAGACGGAATGCGTCTTCACGCAAGTCGAGAAGAAGAGAAGTCCGCCCAAAGGGTATGAGTGGTTCATGTTCGACCAAGTGCGGGTTGAGACTGACCTATATGAATAGTGCAAAGTATATCGAGGGTCTCGAGAACCGTTTAGGGCGCATGGAAAGTTTGCTGAGGCTATCCGGTACGTCCTGAGTCCTTCACCGTACATCTTGCATTGGCTCACAATATAAGAAAGGCCTACTCGGAGACGATGACGAATCAGTCGATCTAGCTACACTGGAAAGACGTCTCGCCGAGAAGCACCAGCAGTCGAGACAAGCTTCACAAGCAGCTACTTCGAATCCTACGTCGCCGTCGCAAGCGACATCTGGTCATGATGGCGCAGTATCGACCCCTCGAAGTTCCCTAACATCTCCAGAGCCGACCAGAGACCGTGATAATAGGAAAGATAGCTCACCGCAACCCGAGCGACCTAGAGATGAAGAAGTCGAGTCCCTATCTGAAATGATGTGTTCATTAGTAACGAATCAGTCTGGAGAGACAAGATATATAGGTACTAACCACGAACTAACCGCAGATATAACCCGTGATGGAATTCGGCTAACTTGCGTTAGGGTCGTCGTCGGGTTTCTCTATATTCTCACCGAAGGGTATCCAGTGGGTAAACGAAAAGACGGGCGACAGATCATTTCAACAAATGATATCAGAAGTATCCATCGATGATCACAAATGGAATCACTGGAAACCCGAGATTTTTAGTGACCTTTTCCATCGTCAGATTTATCGGCAGTTACCGCCTAAGCCAGAAGCTTTATCCCTGCTCAAAGACTATTTTGACAACTTCAACTGCATGTTCCCGCTGTTCCACCAACCAACGTTTATGCACCTTGTTGAGAGGCAGTACTCCAATGACCCGTACCAGGGTTCGGGATGGTGGGCTAGCTTGAATGTTGCATTGGCCATCGCGCATCGCCTTAGAGTCATGAGTAATCTAGTACCGCAGGAAGAGGACGATAAGTCGTGGGCGTACATGAAGAACGCCATGGGAGTTTTCTCCGAATTAACGATGCGCAATACCGACTTGCTGAGCGTGCAGGCTTTACTCGGAATGGCCTCCTTTATGCAGGGAACACCCAACCCTCAGCCGTCGTTTCTGCTGGTTGCCGCAGCTATCAGACTGTCGCACAGTATCGGGTTGCATAAGCGCGGAAGCGGTTTTAATCTGAACCCGGTCGAGATTGAGCAAAGGAAACGAGTATTCTGGATAGCATATATGCTAGATAAGGATCTATGTCTCCGATCCGGACGGCCGCCAGCGCAGGATGACGATGACATGAATGTAGAGCTCCCAGATGCCGACCCAGTAGACAATATTGGCAACATTCCCCTTGCCGACGGAAAGGGAAAGATGAATCTATTCCGAGCCATGTGCGAATTAACAGTTATTGAAAGTCAGGTTTATAAGAGGCTCTATTCAACCAAGGCCACCAAGTTATCAGAAGGCGAGCTGCTACAAACCATAGGAGAGCTTGATAAGCAGCTAGACACTTGGAAGGACAACATCCCTATTGACTTCCGTCCAGAACACGAAATAAAAGCGTCTCACACTCCTCTAATACTCCATGTGGTCATGTTACATTTCTCTTACTACAACGCCCTCACTACAATCCATCGCATGTCTATACATCACGGCTACTGGACAAGTCGACTATCCAATTACGCAATCCAAGGCCTGAACCCCAGGCCTTTAAATCCACGGGTATTTGCATCTGCAGCTCTGTGCGCATCCGCAGCCCGAGCAAGTATTCAGCTGCTCAAGTATATCCCGCAGGGCGACTTTTCCTGCGTTTGGTGAGTGTCTCAACATTTCTACCCGCAGTCTTTATCCGTACTAATACACTGCAGGCTTATTCTCTACTTCCCTGTCTCGGCACTCGTCACGCTCTTCGGGAATATCCTGCAGAACCCGTTAGACCCGCGAGCGAAGTCGGACACGAAACTAATGAATCTAGTGGTGACATTCCTCTCTACCCTCGGACAAGAGGCTGAAACCGGTGGAGTGCACCGTATGCTCGGTGTATGCTCCGAGTTTGAGCGCATCGCCAAGATCGTCATCGATAAGGCGGAACGCGATACCAATCGGCGAAAGCGTAAGAGTCACGAGCCTCAGAGACCCTCCATCAGCCAAGCTTCTCCATCGCAAATGTCCAACACGCCGCAACCCTCATCAGCAGCCACACCGACTGGCAACTACTCAGGAACCTCGCAGCTATCGCCCAAATTTAACGGAGAGCAGAACCGTGCTAACAACGTAGCAAACGGGGGCTTCAGCCCCATGGACACAGCGAGCACGAATAACGGATCAGCGCCACGCGACGGACCAGGAGCCTGGCCGTCTCCATCGCCACAACAACAGCAAGAGTGGAACCCTAACGCTATGGACTTCGGTAACTTCTCAGAGATGACGGGCTTTGGACAGCCGATCGCGTCACCGCCGTTACCAGGTCCCGCCGCGCCTGGGGTCGCGGGCGGATACCAACCGCTGCTCCCACAGGAGCTGTGGCAGATGCCCGGGGGGCTCGACTGGGACTGGGCCGAGTTCACGGGAGGTGCGTATCCTAGCTTCGAGAACGGGTCCGCGGCACAGAATGGGAGATGAGATCAACCTACCATTTACCTATTGGGAGATTTAATATCACGCGGGGCGCTCTATCAGCTTTTCGAGATTTGCGCGACGCGAAGAATACGGGCCGAGCGCCTGAGCGTTGCGTTCGATTAGAGAGTACAGGTATAAGCATAAGCACGACAGGTACGAGAGAGAATGCATCCGGGGCGTGAGGGCATTGGGCGCGAGGAACTGAGCACGGGCGTGGGGGTTGTGATTTTCTAAAAAGAAGGGAAATGAGGCCGGAGGGGGGTTGGAAGGATTCGACTATTCAGACTAACGTTACTGTGACGGCCGATAATATTTAACAACTAGACCTGTTGTCTAGGCAGGTACCTCATGAGGAGTTTGAATTTGCTCTTCTGCGTTTTTTATTTATTTTATGTATAGGAGGCGGTGTGGGAGTGGCGTTTATACGGCGCATTTCTGTTCTGTTCAACGGCCTGAGACGAGATGTTATATATGGCCTGTTTAGTAGCATATATCTCAATTCTCAAGTGTGCGTTTATGGATAAATATAATGTTATTTAAACTAGTTATTCAGAAAGTTTACCTTTTAATTTATTCTATGAATCTTCTTGTGTACCTATACGAAGCATAGCTCTGCTGTGTGTGTATAGTTGGGCTACAAGTACAGATATTTATTTAAATGCACAAGCCGCAAAAACCCAGCACAATTAAATACCAAAAAAGCCACCGTGATTTTATCGTCGGTTTCATCATGATGTAACCAATTGCAGATTAGGCGAAAGCACAGCAACGATTCAACGTTTCGGAGTTCGTCATAGGCGCTCAGCAATATGTACGTGACATGCAGCCAAGATCCCAGCTGCTTGCCTTAGCGTTACTCCGGCCCATATCTATTGAGAACCTCACCATAGGTAATAGCTTCTTCTAACAATTAATTACCTGACACTGGTAGGTGTGCCACTTACTTGTCGTGTGACTTTTATTCCGCCTCACTTCCCCTAGACAACTCCAGGTTACTCTTATCTAAGCCCGACCTGTGCATAGAACTTGTAAGACGTACCTTAGGTACGGTACGGTACCTACACCTATCAAACATGGCTCAACACGAAGCATCAAGTCCCCAACTCCACCCCGGCGATCAGCACGAGATCCCCAGCGTTGAGGCCCACGGGTCCTTCGACTCGCTGAAGGACAGGATCAAGACGCATTACGAAATCGCGTCGGACTACTACTACTCGTTATGGTATTTCCTGCCCTCTCTCATATTTTGTCGTTATTTCCGGTGTGGAGCTAAGCCAGGCCATTCTTCGTCCGTAGGGGCCAACATATCCACCACGGCCTCTTCAAGTCCGCCAGCGAGACTAAGGAGCAGGCCCAGGTCAATCTTATTAACTATCTGCTCGAGATTTCTGCTCTGCCCGCTGGCGCTAAGGTCCTGGATGTCGGCTGCGGCGTCGGCGGCACGAGCCGGTTTCTTGCGCGCGAGCGCGGTTGCACGGTCACGGGCATCACGATCAGCGGGCGGCAGGTCGAGATCGCGAGGCAGGTAACTGAGACGGAGACGGGCGGTTCCCCGCCTTCACCGGGAAGCTTCGCGAAGTATGCCGATGAGAAGGGGAAGGAAGGAGGTAAGGTCCGCTTCCTCGAGCTTGATGCCGAGAAGATGCTAGATCACTTCCGTCCGGCTGCTGGTGAGGCAGAGACGTTCGATTGCGTCTGGATATCGGAAGCGCTGTCGCATCTTCCGGATAAGAAGCTCTTCTTTTCTTCATCATTCTCCCTGGTGAAGAGTGGAGGATTACTCGTTATTGCCGATTGGTTTAAGGCGCCGGTTCTATCGCCCGAGCAGGAGAGTACTGATATCAAGCCCATTGAAGACGGCATGTTACTTCCCCGACTCTACACTGCGGACGAGTATGTTGCGCTGGCAACGCAGGCGGGATTCCGAGCCCGTAAGGAGCCGGTTGATATAAGTAAGGATGTGGCTAAGACATGGTAAGTTATCTCAACTTGTGCTATGGGAAGTCTGCGAGCTAATTGCCACATAGGGATATATCATGGTCTCTTGTTTCCTCGCCTTCACTCTGGGCCTTTGCTATATCTCAAGGTAGGGACGGTCTTGCGTTCTTGCAGGCATTTAGGGCGATGAGGAGAGGTTACGCAAATGGGACATTTAGGTACGCGGTCATGTGCTTTGAGAAGCCTTGAGTGCGAAAATGTGATGATAGAGGAGACGGAGATGGATATATATGTTGGTTGTGGGATTGATAGAGTGGGTGCACGTAGCTATCATCTCCCACCTAATATATGACGATCGGCTATGAAGATATGTAGTAAGATAGCGTCATATCTACTACTTAAGTCACTCATCTGATCGCATATCTTGTCGAACGATGAGAAGAAGCCTCGTATCTGGGGTGGGTATATTCGCTAATACAAAGCCTTGACCCTTATACAATTCGATTAAAGCACCCAGGTAGGTCGGTAAGTTAGGTAAACAAAAGGGTAAGCCTCGTTAATCCTACATCATCCATTGGCTATTTAATTGAGTGGGATAGACCCTCCTTTGATATAGGCATCACATACCTAGCGGGATATATGAAAGGTAGCTTGAGTAGTCGAGAAACGTTAATTAGTAAATTGTATATCAACTGGCCTTATAGTTGGCTTCCTCCTGCTCTAGCAGCCTACGCATATTGTCTGTGACGCTTAATAGCTTAGGCAGCATGTTATAAGAAACCTCACGAAATTCTATAAGTTGACATTGTAATTTGGTTCCCTACCTAATGTTTATCATTATACCAGGCGGCGCTGTTGCTCAGCTCTTTACGAGACACGACTATTGAGAATGGCTAAGTGTACTGAGGGGTCTTCTCACATAGACTTAAGCGATATGGTGAAAACTATAAGCTATGAATTATATTACATAGGTTGGGCAAACAATTAAGGACAATATCGTTAGTCAAAGAAATACCGTGCAGAGCTATAAAATTTTCATCGTGTCTCATGCTTGGAAGATTCATGTCAGAATACAACACAATGTTACTAAATTCGTCTTCGAAGCTTAGCCAAGTCTAACACTTACTAATAAGATAGACGTTCATCTGAAATAAGGAACGCTACCAAGGGGAGGAGTTATTCGCCGTAACATCCCGAGACTTGAAAGTTTTCGGTGACGATCCTTTCTGTGAGACAGAAGCCGGCGTGGCTCTAGTGGGATTCCTGTATATGGGGAGTTACCAGTAGGGCCATGATTACTGGTAGAACATATATCCTTTCAGAAATGACGGCATCGTCACATTTTGGCGGAAATTGGACCTAAAATTTTCGGGCTATCTTAACGTAATACGTTAGGTAGTTTGAGCCCCGCGAAATATTTAGCCGCATCGTGACTATTCTGCCTAACACCGAGACAGTAATGGGCAATCAGTGGATGCTGATCTCTATCCGGCAACAACTACACTATAACAGCATGACTGATGAGATTTCGGCACATAAATGTGATAATGTGCCTTTGTATCAGTAAAAGGCAGATACTAATGAGACAGGGAGCTTCTGAAACTTCGAGCAACAAGCTCCTAATCGCCCAAGCTATTGGCACGTTACGATACGAAGAAGTTTGCCCTATTATCCATTAAAAGGCAATGCATTAAGAAGCAAAGAGTCAAGACAAGCTCAAAAGCCAAGAAAGCAGGGTGCACCCTGAGACAGCATAGCGGTAGACGAGCTGCAGTGCGGGCATACATAGCTACATGTATGTAGTAGCACCGCTAGTCGTTGACCGAATATATAATAACTATATTCGGACGACTTTCTAGAAACAAGCGCGACGATCGCGGCCATGGCAAAGGCCACTTTGTTAGTCACGATATTGAAAATGCTCACCGTTGCCGGGAAGCTAGGCCTCGAAGTTGGCGGGTATTGTGGATTTCTCATTAGGCTCGAGCGGCGGTCATGCGCACGTCGAAATGGAGCTTTTATATGTATACGAGTCTGAACAATTAGCCTAGGCCTATGTACAAATGCTTGTCTGTATCTCCGCAGTCTGGAGAAGCTTGATTGATGACCAAGTGGGGAATAGTAGTTGGGCTGCATGAAAGATGAAAAACTGTATGTAGGGTTCCCGGTGCCGGTGACGGTGACGGTGAATCTGTGTTTGAGCTCAGTGGAGACCTTTTCCATGCTCTCCATGCTCGGCGGCTTGGGCTTGGGCTTGGGCTTGGAGTGGAGAGATTGGACGGTAGGGCACTGACAGGCTGGGCGGGTTCATCAGACGAACTAGAAGAGTCCAAAAGAATCAACGGGTCGTATCAAGCACCAATTCGAAGGAAATTGCAGTAATGACGACTATGTATTCCCTATTTCTTCCGACGAGTTTGATGATATGATGAACATACTACATAATAGCTCTCATGTATGTTTCGGCCATCTTGAAATTCTTGTTGAATCTGATGTATCAATCTAATTGGTAGTGGTCTTAACTAGAACTCGGTGAGGCTGTTAGCAGACTTACAGCACGCCTGCCACGCACCCAGTCGGTAAAACCCAAGCCTCGTGGCATTTTCAGATCGGAAGAATCCGGGTCTCTTGCAAGGGTTTGTACAAGATTCGTCAGCCCTGTCAGCCCCATCCTTCGGCGCGGTCATACCTTGCAATATCGTGATCAATTTCGGGCTGGTCCTGGATTGGGCTTCCAGAAGGTGATTTTTTTAAAATGAACGGGGCCCATGGTGAAGTAAAGGAGTTTGCTTGGGCACCTTGATATAACATTACTTACGTAGGTAGGTATGTAGCAGCAGAGAAAGGCATGATTTGGCTAGTCAATCATACAACATCTCGAGCCATGGTCTCCCGTTATTTCCATTTGGAAATGTCGTATACCCTCTTATCCCCGGGTCCTCATCCTTAAGACCTCCAACCGTTGACGGATTACAGGATCTTGCGAAGGGAGCCTCTTTCGATCTGATCCCCCAACTTTTGAGAAGGGCGAGAAGAGGAAGGGCGCGGCCATCCAAGACGGTTGGAAATGCTATATTACCTGTACGTTATCGAAATCAAATCAGAAACATTGGACGGTCCCAAGTCGCAAATCCGACTTATGCAGGGACGGGGAGATAGAGCTCAATTGGTTGTATCACGGACCAGTCACAAGAGTCGGGACTGCGGGATCGACGGACATGCAACGTCAAGGATCAGGGAGAACCCGATGCACCCCAAACTTTTTCGGAGTCCGTGTTGCGACATGTCATACACTTGTGCACTACACTCATACACCTCTTACACCAGAAATTTCGTGAATGTTGCTGTCGCTGACGAGAAGGCGTTCCGTAGCAATTCCTGGGGTTGGATTCTGCAGAGGAATCGTATCATATTCAGCCACAGAAGGGGTGAAGTAATAAGCATTATTCATGCCCAAGTCCGTATACCGTATACGTAGCGCTTATACTCTCTCAACGTCGTAACTTGGCAGGCTTGTACATGTGAAGGCAGCCGATGAATAACCCTTCCTTCGTCTTAGCTACCTTTACCATGTAGGTTTAGGTTCCACGTCCCACTAGAAGTCAGTTAGTCCTTAAAAGTTAAGGCTAGTCTAGTCCTAAGGATCGTTCCCCGGGCCCAATTACGAACTACAAAGCTTTCCTTATTTGGCGTATCCTTCTTTTTTTTTTTTTAGTTTTTAGTACGTACAATAACTCCCTAACCTAACATATTCCAAGATGGAGTATTGTATGGAGGTCATAACCTTATGGGATAACCCTACGGTGTGCAATGCCTGTCTGTACTACATACCTACATACTTTCGATGCTCTTACACACACCACACACCACACACCACTATGTATGCTGTATGTAAGTATGTAGGTACCGGCGTACATTCGTACGGCAGAGTCTCTTGATTTCCCCTTGGTCGGATCCCAACAAAAATTTTCCGTCTTTCTTTTAGAAAGAAGAAAAAAATCGGAAATTTGGTGAGTGTCTGTCAATCTTGACTTAGAATCCTTTTTTTGTTCTATCATTAGGTCTATTAGGTTGTCTACATCGACTCCTACATAATTCTTCAGAACTTTACCAGTTGCCTGTTTCGGACGTTGCTTTAATTGATTTGCACGCCTTTTTACGTTGCTTCCCACTCAAGATAAAGTATTTTATTTATTTTCTTCGATTGGAGGATACCCAACTACGCGAATCTCGGTACGGCCGTGCTTCGTTTGTTGGTACCCTCGTACCGAAGATACCCTTTTTTTACCTTTCCCTCTCTTCTTATTCGTTCCGTAACTTGCCGATCAGCCGCCCCCTTAGCTCCCCCTGGGCTCCTGGGCTAATAACGAAAATACTACAGCGATCTGGACCTAGTGTTTGATCCCCTATGATCCCCTATGAAACCCCAACGAAACCCCAGTTCGCCCTTGTCACAGCTTACACGGCTCCGTGTTAGCGGTCGTCTGGCGGCAGCGAATGGAGGTCTGAGAACGAAGGCATACGGAACCAGGACCCTTGGTATTCCTCATGCTCTTCCTTATGCTAGAACTAGTGCTAGCACTCATCCTGATACCGGCTTGCCGTTATTGTTATTAAGAAGCCCGGTCCCGTCTGCAAATGGCCTCATGGACGACCTCGTAGTTGGGCGGACTTTTATTAAACACCACGGCAATAATACAAGAAATTACACGAATACTCTTCGGGACAGTAATCAGCAGACACACCACGTTCACCCACCCGAACCTAGTTCCTTGTATTCCTTGCATTCCGGACTTTTCTCTTGCACCACTACTGGTAGTGATATCCGAAAAGGGGAACCATCGTCTTTGCCTATTGCTCCGTACCCGTCCACGTTGTCTTCAGCCAGTTCTAGTTCTGATAGCGTCAGCTGGATCGGACAGTCCCCTATTAGCCCTGCTCTTCCGTCTTACCCCATCAGCTCAACATCCAACCGTTGTCTTTTAATACTGGCACGCCACCCGTCACCGCGACGTCCAATGGCGTTTAATACTTACAGCACCGCCAGTTCAGATATATCAACGCCTCGCTCGTCTTCCCCTTCTTCATTCTCTATCGCGTCTGCGCGTTCCTCTCATACTTCCGTCTCTAGTAAACGCCTGTCCTTATCTCTGCAACGGAGGCAGTCTGCGCTTAACCCAATGTCCTCGGTTGATATCTCTGCAATTGAAGAACAGATGAAAATGGCTGCTCTAGACGGCCTTCGAGGTTACGCACAGAACCACTACGGCGAGGTCCAACAGTACCGAAGCACAGAATACATCCCGCAGTCCGCCGCTGGTGGTTACCAAATATTACGGGAACCTCTATGGAACAAAGGTATTGCGCCGAGTTTTTAAACAAGCCCGCCCCTCGCGATTGCTTTCCTACTAACACCCAAGCTATCCAGGACTCTCTTTTACCCCAGATGAGCGTGTCTCTAAGAACCTCACAGGTCTAATGCCGCATGCCATGGAAAACGTTGAGACTCAGGTCGCCAGGTGTATGAAGGTGATCAACTCTAGGCAGACCAACGTCGACAAGTATCTATACTTGACGCATCTCAAGACTCAGAACTTGGATCTGTTCTACAGAGTGCTTATCGACAATGTTCGTGACCTGATGCCGCTGGTCTACACTCCCACTATCGGTGATGTGTGTCTGCAGTACTCTACGCTTTACACTCACCCGGAAGCGTTGTACATATCGATCAAACAGCGCCGGTCAATCAAGACAATCCTGCGTAACTGGCCTTATCCGGACCCCGAAATCTGCGTGGTAACGGACGGATCCCGCATTTTGGGGTTGGGCGACCTCGGTATGAATGGTGTGGGGATCTCCGTAAGTTCCACCATCTTGGCTTACATTAGTGTCCCGTGAAATCTGAGGCTGACTCCTACTTAGATCGGCAAGCTGGCTTTGTACACCGGTGCCGCCGGTATCCACCCCGGAAAGACCCTACCGATCGTGCTAGACACCGGTACCAACAATGAGACTAACCTGAAGGACCCCCTGTACCTGGGTCTCCGAGCTAGACGCCCTTCTCCGGCTGTTGCCCAGGAGTTCATGGATGAATTCATGGAGGCTGCCGCCGAGGTCTTCCCCAACATGCTCGTCCAGTTTGAAGACTTCGAGACTGAGAAGGCCTTCAACTACTTGGCTCGTTACCGTAACAAGTACAAGTGCTTCAACGATGACATCCAGGGAACTGGTGCCGTCGTGTTGGCTGGGTAAGCAATTCGAAGCTTCACCATACCTTTTGTCATTAATTACTTACAAGATATTAGTTACATTGGCGCTGTGAACCTATCCGGTGTTCCCATTGAGGAGCAGCGCCTGGTATTCATGGGTGCCGGTTCAGCCGGTGTCGGTGTCGCGAAGCAGATGGTCGAGTACTACACCCGTCGTGGCCTTTCAGAACAAGCTGCGAAAGAGAAGTTCTGGCTTGTCGACACCAAGGGCTTGGTTACCGCGGACCGAGGTGACAAGTTAGCGGACCACAAGAAGTACTTTGCCCGGTCGGATAACAATGGCCACCAATTCCGCACACTCGAGGAAGTAATCGAGTATGTGAGGCCGTCTGCCCTCGTTGGTCTTACGGCAACTTTCGGGGTTTTCACCGAGTCTGTCGTTCGTGCCCTCAAGGCTTCGGTTGACTCTGGTGGCTCTGGAAGGCGACCCATCCTTTTCCCTCTTAGCAACCCTCTTACCAAGGCTGAATGCACATTCGAGCAAGCAGTCCAGTGGACAGATGGCACTGTTATCTTCGCATCTGGTTCTCCATTTGCGCCGTTTGCCGTCAAGGCCGGCGACCACGCTGTGACCTACTGGCCGAACCAGGGTAACAACGTCTACGTGTTCCCTGGTCTAGGTCTCGGTGCTATCCTCGCTAAGGCGTCAAAGATCACTGATGAGATGGTCTATATCTCGGCTTCCTCATTATCCGAGTCCCTAAATGCCGAAGAGGTCCACAAGGGTTTGATCTATCCCCACATCGAGCGTGTCAGGGATGCCAGCGTCGTCGTCGCCCGGGAGGTGATGAAGGCTGCCCGCAGGGAAGGTGTCAGCACTCTACCCGAAGAACAGTGGGTTGAATGGGAAGAATGGGGTGACGTCGCCCTGACGAAGTACATCAAGGATAGGATTTACGATCCCCTCAAGTAAGAACGTGGCTTGCATGAGGAGGTATGCATAAGATAAGATTCATGGTCGGCGTTATTGGTATTGTTTCCCCGTTTTTGGGTCTGGCACATAATGATTATTACGCTTCGCTTCTGACGAAGGCACTTTTCGGAGAGATATCCTTGGAATCTTAGCTACTTACATGGGCATCATGTTGAGGGATTTCCCGAGTCCGTGGATAGAACATGGAACTTGTTAAAAAGGGAACAGACAACACCGCGATCTAGAATCAACGATATAAGGGTCGAATAGATGGACTATATAGATCAGAAGAACACTTTCATTCACATATTCGTTGTTTCTTCATAACTCCAGCATGTGTGCGCTCCGATAGACCAGTCGACTGTTCAGAGTTTGGATTGTGGTTTACTTTTGATATGATTCTCTACCAAGACAAACTCATCCAACAAGCTCAAAGTTAGGTACCTGTTTATGTACTTCATTGCGGGCTGAACCTAATAATACTGATGACCCCTGACATCTCAGGAATATAACTTATACCAGTCCAAAAATTTTACTATTAATATTTAAGATAATAGTACTTTACTAGTAAGGTAGGAACTAATAAATAGATGCTACGGTCAAGCATAAGTACTTCATCAGGCTACTCTGGATTCTTTGTTATATTAGCTGATTAGTTAAAACCCAATAGAAGTGTCGGTCAACTACTCGGCAAACATCACAACCAAGGCGCTATATTTACTAGGTTTATTAGTATCTCCTAGTTGAAGAGGCGGGTAGAGCCGTCCCTACCTGTTAGGTACGCAATACTCAAGGCCTTTGAATATTTAGGGGACTTGCAGTTATCCCGCCGTTAGACCAACTCACGCTCGAGCATAGTGACGTGGAGAGGCTCAAGTGCCGACTAAGAATTTTAATATTAATTACTGCATCTATTGACTTAATTAGATGACAAGTATAGTGGCCTCTTGGGGATAATTTTCTTAGGAGAGGCGCTTCTATTCGGATATTCAACCTTCTAGCTTTCTTAAATAAACCATAAATAAAGTCTGTCGCTATGCGATATCCGTAAATGCCTTGGCATTTGCCATGCCTTATCCCCACGTCCGTCTATACCTAGCGCTGCACCTCCAAATCATTTACATAACTCGAAGCCAAGTGTATCTTCCTAGTCCCTTTTAGATCTCCCTTACGCCCCTAAATAAGAACCCCTATCCTAGGAAGTCGTAGTCGTCTAGGCAGCTTATCAAGACGACGGCGTATTTTCAGGCCAAGACCAGTTTTCTATGTGAACGTCAATCCATGCATCCCATCCAGTGGCATCGAGCCCGCTTAAGTCATCTTCTTGGAACTCGGGGGGTATCTCGAGAGCCTCTGGCTGTTCGCGCTGAGCGCCTGATGGCAATGGCTGGGTCTCTGACAGTTCCTGTTGAGGTTCTGGTAGTATTGTATGGATCTCCGATGGTATCGTTTGAGCGTCTGATGGTGCCAACCCGGCCTCTGATGGTACCGTTTGGGTCGTTGGCGGTGCTGGTTGAGATTCTGGTGACACCCTCTGGGCCTCTGGAGGTGCCGACTCGGTCTCCGGTAGTGGCGCTGCGTGGGTCTCAGAAGGTAGTGCCTGAGCCTTTGGAGGTGCCAGCTGGGGCGATGGTGAATGTGTCTGCCTCTGGACCGGACTAGAATTCCCAGGCTTCCTAGATTTCTTAGATTGTCTAGGCTGCTTAGGTTGGTTGGGTTGTCTGGGTTGTCTGGGTAGACTGGGTAGACTTGTAGACTGATTAGGTTGAAGGGGGTTACTAGGCGGTTGTCTGATATAGGCTGGCTGGATGTAGCTGTAGCTAACTTCTTGGATACCTACCGCAGTATTCATAGGGCGATAATATGGATGTATATGCGAGCTCCTTTCACGTTGTGGACGCTGAAGATGTTGAAACTGCCAGCGTGGAACAGGACCTGGCTCATAGGTCGTCTGGTAGGGATTGTAAACCCTCGGGTTGGGCTGGTAGGTGGCTGGAGGCGGGACTATGAGGTTCGTTGCCCCCATACTAGGCTGGCTGGTGCTTTGATAGGGAACTCCCATCCCCGTCATTGTTTGCCCGGCATAACCCTGAGTTGATGGGAAGCTGTGGCCTTGAACAGGTTGTCCATAGCTATCAAGTATAGGGCGTGTAGGAAAGTAAGCTCCTGGAATATTTGGATATCGATCCATTTGGAAGGTGCCTAAGAAGCGATGCTGTTATTAGTGCTTGATAAAGATGTGTAGTTAGCAGAAGAATGTGCTTGTTAATGATGATAATGATGGTACTGCTGTTAACGTCTATCGGTAGCTATAGCAGGCGCATCTATGGCGCCGAGACGTCCAGAGAACCTCCTTCGAGACAGAATTGGAGTATCTCCTGGCATATGAGATCTTCTGTTTTTGTCTATGCATTTCATTCCCTCGTGCCTCTAACACTACTCTGCTTAATTAGCGCTGGCTCTGGGTATTTATATAGGTATATATATATACATTTCCCAGGTTCTTAAAGTTCTCGTTTGTTCATATCAACAAAACTCAAACGCCACATATATACTCATTCCAAAGTAGAACGTAACCAAATGGCATTTCCGACTTGAAAGCCTATTACATTAGCAGCAATGCTGTGCACGACTGACTTCATCGCCCGTGTTTATTTTGTCGGGGCGTATTAAGTTAAGGTCTAGTCGCGATAGAAAAATGAGGCTTTAGCAACAAGTATCTCAGTTGGATATTCATACTTAACCGTACAGGGGGATAAATAGGCTTCCTTCCATGAGAAAGCGTAGGAGTTTTTAGAATAGGAGTCTCGGAAGCTTCGTCATTAGACTTATATAGTAACATTTATGGTTCCCGACGAATCGTAGTAATGTACATGACTAATTGCGCTTCCATCAGATGATTATTTGTACTATAGTTGATATCTAATGAGTTTATAGTCTGGGCTAGGTGACACTTTATCGTGACATATCGCCTAAGTTCCTCCTAAACCATTGAAGATACAGGATTGTATTAACTTGCGTCTTGTTAGATATTGTGCCCTATATTTTACGCAACTGACTCGACTAACATCGTCTATATTCAACATCTATCTATTTTAGACACTCTACTTTCTCTTGTAAAAGTTGCCTGGAAATAGTTGTTGGATTTCTACAAACCGTCTTCCATAAATTCGTCGTATCGAAAATGATGTTGTTATTCTCGTAGAACACAGATAGTTTTCGTAGTATCTTATGGGGTTCTTCATTGGGGTTCACGATTTTCTTAAATAGGTGCCTACCAGGTAATCCTGGATCTAACAACAAGTTACTCGTAGCCAGTGAGCAGCTAAGCTCCTGGCCTCATAAAATTTCTCCATCAATCATGTTATCTACCTGACTATGAAGCTTTCCCCCGTTGCTGCGATTAGGTTAAGTAGGAGTAGTCTAGACCCCGGATTTTTAATATCCGCTTAATCAACCTCGCCCCTTTCTTCCACCTCCACTCCACATTAGCCGAGTTCGCCTATATCCATGTCTACGTCTCCCCGTCTCTACACCCTGATTTGAGCGCGTACTTTTCTGGGGGGCGCGATGCCACGTTTTTCCTTAATATAGTATCAAGATAATATATGTCTTCTCGTTTGCGTTACAGCAATCCATCCCCCCTCCCTATTTCACCGCCTGCCCAACATCGACCGAGGTAGCCTGGACTTCGCGAGAGCCAAGACGGTAATATGGATTACCTGGTTCTACGGCTCTGGAAGACTTTGACACTAAGGGGGCCGTAGTTTAAAATATCTCCGGTCCGGCAAAGCTTTTACCAAGATGGGACGCTCCGTTTTCCTACGGGAATGCAGTCGCTTTTATTTATCTTTCCTGCCATCACGTCTTTCAGGACTCGGATTCCCAAAGCCAGAAAAGAGCAGCGATTGCGCGATTGCTTCCTAGGCTCGGGAAAGATTTTTGTTCCTCAACTAACATAAGGCGTAGAAGAGAAGAAGAATGATGCTTACATATTTTATACCTGCTCTGTTGGCACTTGCCAGCGGAGCCTCTGCGGCTCTCAATGTCACAGGTTCGACATGCACGGTAACACCTCTACCGGTTGAGGGTGGCAAGGAACCGGACGACACACAGCAGATCCTCGATGCCTTCAAGCAATGCGGGAAGAACGGCAAGGTTATCTTAACGGAGGGTTCATTCCACATCGGGAAGGTGATGGATCTTAAAGACCTGAGCAATGTGGATATTGAGATCCACGGTACGCTACGATGGTCCTCGGATATCCAGTACTGGCTGGGAAACAGTATCGGCGTCGAGTATGCGCAGCGGTCTACGGCCTGGCGCATTGGTGGCCAAGATATCAGCATTCGTGGCTTCGGCAAGGCATTATTTGATGGCCAGGGCCAGTTCTGGTATGATCAGAACCGTGGCGGAAGTAACCAAGCCGGACGGCCGATCAGCTTAACGCTCTGGCATGCTAAGAATGTTTTTATCGATGGAATCACCTGGAGGCAGAGCCAGTTCTGGCGTAAGCTATTCCCGCCCTCCCTTCGTATTTGCCAATAGTATCATGAAGTTGAAGTATGAATAAAAGACGAAGAGGGCTAATAGAATATTAGACACCTTCGTTGCGTACAGCGAGAACATCACCATGACGAACCTAGACATGAACTCAACCAGCAACAGCCAATGGAGTACCGTGAACACTGACGGTACCGACACTTGGAACTCAAAGGACGTCTTCATCAAGAACTGGACAGTGACCTGCGGTGATGTAAGCCCCCTTCCCTTGTTATTCTTCTAATATGTCTACCACCCTCCTACCCCTATTCTCTTAAACACTAGGTAGGTACTCAGCTAACCCACCCACAGGACTGCATAGCCATCAAAGGCAACAGCACCAACATCCAAGTCTCCGACGTGCACTGCTACGAGTCCGGCTGCGCAACCATCGGCTCTCTGGGCAACAACCCCGGCAACGCGCCAGACTTCGTGCAAGACGTGACCTTCGACAACATCACCTGCACGCACAGCTCCAACGCAGCCTGGGTCAAAACCTACAGCGGCAACGGGCTCGTGCGCAACGTCACCTTCTCCAACATCCGCGCCGAGAACGTCAACCAGCCCATCTACGTCACCTCGTGCATCTACACGGCCCGCGGCTGCGACCAGAGCCGCCTGCCCATCCAGGATGTGCGCTGGATCAATGTGACGGGGACTAGTCGGTATAATATTGCTTCTGCGATCCACTGCTCGGCTAGCAGCCCTTGCTCGGGGTTTAGTTTTGAGAATGTCGAGATCACCCCGCTGGATGGGAAGAGTACGCCCAAGTACTTGTGTAGTAATATCCAGGGCCAGACTGAGAGCGGCATCCCCTGCACGGGGACGTGCCCGGCTGATTGGCCGCAGCAGTTGAGTGGAAACCGCTGAGTTTTATCGTGGAAGTAAATGATGGGATGATGAAAGGAGAAGTAGATAGGGGTTCTTGTCTGGAATATAGCTACCGTTATGAGCAACCGATAAATATTCGTGTGCCTATTAAATCAAAAGTTCATACCAAAGAATTCGCCATAACCATGTCTCATTACTCGTCACTATAAATCTAGTTTCATTCATCTTCGTCACACATAAGCAGCGTGGTCTCATAACCTCCCCGCCTTGCCTTGCCTTGCTATTCCATCCTAGCCTACCCCCTATATCTATATGACCGCGCCCATCCATTCATTATGATGATCTTCCTTACTCCCACCTCTGCCACTCTCTAACCGCCTGGTCGAGCTCGGCATCAACCCACTCCGCACCGAAGCGGTGCGGGTCGAGTCCCACGATCCTGGCGTGGTACTCCTGATCTTTCATCCTGCGTTCCCTGACCTTCGATTCCAGATACCTCATATCGTTATGCCGCACGGCCCATTGGAATATTTGGCGCATGCGGTCCGAGTATAGCTGGCAAGCGGCCAGCTGGAGTAGCTGGGGGTTCTTGTGGAAGTTGGCCGCAATGGAGCTGCTGTCGCGTTGGATCATGGGCCATACCACTTCCCCGAAGCATTCCTCGCAGACTGTAAAATCGGGAATCGACCGCATCGTATACCACTTGCCATTTTGGACCGGGGTGTCGCGAGCGCATTCGGGAACAGCCGTTAAGTCGCGAAGTCTATCGGCTAAGGCCTGAACGTCCGGCGTGCTCTTAGTTATTAAGGCCTTATCGGCCGCCGCCTCTAAAAGGTCGAAATAGAATAAAAATCTTCGTTCGTTATCTTGATGCATCGCACAGACACCCCTTGTAGCTTCAGCCGGGGAGTCCATAGGCACGAAAAGGCCCGTCAGATTCGGAAGTAAAGCCTCAACGGTCTTCGCACAAGTGTAGCAGACGGTAAAGCTTTCAACAGGGTGTCCTGAGCGGGGATCTTTGACTGAATACCAGATCCGGGAGGTTTCTCTCGCCCCCGAACACGGCTGGCTCTTAGCGGTGACGTTAGCGATATTTCGAAACATGGCTAGATCCGCCATTCCGTATTTCCTTGTTAGGAAATACGCGATTTGGTAGTATCGAGAAGTCCCGAAGTCGCAGACGATATATCGGTCTGTCGAGCGGAACGGTGTCGGAACAAAGTGGTGCGCAAATTCGGTTTGAGAAAATGTGACTTCGTAACATGACGGACAGATGTCGAAGTTGTCGCAACGAGGAAGTGTTAGCCAATCCATGTGTCCTGTAGTTGGTTGCCTACGAGGGCAGTCACGCATATTAGGGAGTTCGCCAGCTTGCACCTCGTCGAGATATCTTTTATACGGAGGCATATAATAACTTTTGCTGACAAGGCTCCTTGGCGAACCGGATTCTACCGGCTGGCGTGCGTGTCTCTGAGGACTCGTCGACAATGCTGATGTGGACGAGCGAGGATCTTGCTGGATGGATCCTACTCTAGGTGATGGAAGTATACCTGACCTACGAGGATCAGTAGGGGAACCAGAATGTACGGCCGCAGCGGTTGCAGTTACGGCAGCGGCAGCGGCAGCGGCAGTAATTACGATCGGAGCAGAGGGTTTAAGCTCAGATCTTCCCGTAGAGGAACGGGTCAATGAATTGTGAGAACGATGTTCGCTTCGTGAAAATTTGATATCTTTTGGGAACGTAGAGCTGCGCGGATTAGACGAAGTCGATTCCCTCTCATAGACTTGGGAGGTTCGTGAAGATGGAAGCGGAGAGGCGCCCCGAGATCTTCGATCGCTACTAGGTCTCAGTTCTGCTGAGCTTTGGAGGTAGGATCTTCCGTCAGTAGACACGACTGATTCTCGATGACGGCGGGGACGAGCTCGATATGACGCGTCCTCATCACTTGAGTAGATATATTTACTATGAGGCGGGACTTCTGGTTTCTCTTCAGAATTAGATGAGACCTGAGACGCTGTATCTCGTTCACGTTGTTTACGGTTAGTATCGTCAGCTCTCGGCGACCGAAGCTCGGCGTACGGCGGAGGATTCTCATAGGCAACCTTTGAGGATGTCCGCACATGTTGAGGGATATCCGCAGTCGAGTGTCGTTTGTGATGAGTAGGGCTTGTCGACTTGGCCGATTTGAGAGGCTTATCTCTATATCTCCTATCATCTCGAGGACTCTTCTCGTACTCAACATTAGGGTGAGATGAGCGATTGCGATTTTGAGAATAAGAATCTGAGCCCCCTTGGTAGTATGCTCGGTCTCTTCCTCTGCTAGCATGTTCTATGACATCTGGAGAAAGCGTACTTCCACTCTGAAGCCGAGAATGACGGCGGGGAAAGTAATTCTCGTCGCCTTTCTCAGATCTTGTCGTAGATTTCGATCTCCTCGTATCGGATTTCCGAGAATCAGGCTCAATGTCTGTAGTTATAGTAGGTAGTTGTTCAAGTTTGCTACGACGTCTCTCACGGCTTGGCCGCGTGTCCGATTTGGCCTCAGGCGATTCTTCGCGACGCGTGCGCGCATCATATTTGCGACCGGTGTTCGCCTCATAAGAGGTAGGTTCGGGTTCGGGTTCGAGCTCGGGGTTTGAATCCCTAGATTTGGGTCGCCTCGGTAGCTGCTTAGCATTTCCCGAGGAATCACCTGTAGAATCGGACGAGGTCGAAACTATAACAAAGCGCCTCTCCGGATTATGTTCATGCACAGGGAGGAGGATAGGCAGCTGGTCAATATCCCCCCGGTGTATCGGTCCCTCGCCTGGAACTGGAACCGTGGCCTTATATTCCTTTGCGAGCGACGCCGTCTCATCCTCAACACATGGCGGAGGAGGATAATCGCGCTGGCGACGAGCGTGAAATGGTAATTTACTCGGAGCCGTCACATTTACATAAGAGGACTGGCTTGATGGTGTACTCGAGGTGGCGCTGCGTTACATATGACGTATCAGTAAGTCGCCCAACTTTGGTTCACAATGGATTCATCCCACGCCATTTTGGTTGGAGGGTATAGGAACTTACAATCTTGAATCTGGGCTTTTAGCTCTAGAGTTAGGCCAATAGCCTTGTCGTAGGAACGCGTCGATGTCGACATCAACCATATTGGAGATATTCAACCAGCTTTATTGGGGGATTATTGGTTATTTCTGGAACATGGCAACCAGGGTGTGTTGAGGAGGGGAGAAAGAATGCAGTTGATATGTAAATCGAACGCCCTGCTTCTCAGCCTTGCTGACCAGCTCTAAGTAGATTCCGCCAACTGTAGCTTAGCTCCTTGAAACCTTTGGAACTTCGGAACAGCAGACGGATAAGCGGCAACGTACGAGAAGTCGTGATTCGCTGACGTTTAAGAGTTGGGTAATTCCAAGCGCAAGCCCCAGCTGTGAACTCGTCGTAAGTGATTTGACAGGTGAAGATGTCGATGACAAGACAATTCTTAACCGTTCAAAGTAGCGCTTAGAAAGACTTAAAAGACGTCAAATGACAAGCAGCGAGGCAGTGCGTCTTAAAAAGGATGGACCTCCAAAAGCGCCTCAAAGGTCAGTGGCTTCGGACATTGCCGTCTCCACGCTCGTCTTCGTCAACCTTTCAGGGTTTAAGCTGCTGTGAGCTGCTGCGGACTGCTGTGGTACTAGTTCGCTCAGCTAATGACGAAAATGATATAGAGGCTTATATTATAGCTTATCCAAGTGCCGTGGATTTATACTAGTATACCTAATGTAGGTAGTAAAAGTGTAAGTTCGCCGCGTTCCTGATGGTTCCCAAAGGACCTTGCTACTGCAGCTCGTATGCAAATGATGGAATAAGAAGCGGGGTGGAAAGCAGGGGTCTCTACGGTCTCTACGGTTTCTACGGGTCTCACTAACAAATCTCGTCGTCTGAGAGTTACATCCATAACACATCCGTATCTGGGCTAGTCACGATGAACCGACAATCCTTTGCCCCTCACTAATCCTATCCAGGCAGTTCAAATTGCTTGACTGGCAGCACTGGCAGCACTGGCTGGTCCTGGGAACACTTACTCCGCAGGTTTATCGAGTGAGATCTATGATCCATTGTTATGGGCTTTGCCCTTGAACCACTCCGTTTTCCATGCGTCGTCGCACTGCATACCTACCCTGCATGACATTGAAATATACCTGTACCCCTAATAAATAGGACCCTTCTCGCCCGAGTACACGCCGTACACAGAGATCAATGTGTATGCCTACCTACAGTATTTACTAACTATTATTTCGGGCGTTGGACTATGTATGTACGTACACGAACTTGTAGAGAATCGACGTTGACATGTTCGCCTGCCAACGCGTCGCCTCACCGACGTCTAAACAAGGCGTAGGTTGAGCAGCATTGACAGTTTCAGCCATGACTTGCGCCATCAAATCATCATGTTATCTTGACGTCTTGGTACGCGATGCTGTGCTGCGCGCCGCCTTCGGCAAGGGGTATCACAACTCTGCTGAGAAGAAGGGTGGTCAGCAAAGCTGAAGGAGTAGAGCTACGATGGCTGGTGAGTTTCGATTACGACTTCTATCGAATACCAACTTACATACATAAAATAAAGCCTTGGTCGCACAAGACAGAAAAATCATGACCTCTACGTTTGTCGTATTACAGAATGCGCCCTTCGTGTACGTAAAAGTAGTATTGGCGAAGCCGAAAACAAGTTAAATGAGCTTTATTACGGAGTAAAGCGACTTGCAGCTAGGCTATGCAATCGATCAAGTTCGAATGCATATAGGACGGAATATGACCTGCCTAACTGTCCTCAACAGTCAACAGTTGTCGTCCCGCATGCTGTAAGTAAAGGGGTTCGTTGGCTTGGAAGTTATCAACGTGTAGACGGTTTCTTCATCCCAGAGATAGCTCCTATAGAGAGCTACCTGGTAGCAGCTGGACCCTGCGAGTTACCATGCAGCTCAAAACTCCGATGTCTTACCTGTGCGACAGCTTTTTGTTATAGAAGGGTCCTCTTGACCTGTGTCTCTACCCAATGTTTCACCACATTCTTGTGTGTCTACCAGCCATGAACTATGATGCCTCGGATGCAGTTCTCATGATCGCCAAGGTAGGTAGTATTGAAATACCACGAAAAACACGCTATTCGCCGAGATACACACCCGACGCCATGCATCTTAATATCGACAATATCGAGATTCCGTTGTGCTGGGACCCCTTAGAATCACCACAGGGTCACCATAGGGCCACCAAATAAAATATTGATTCGCTCAATGAAGGTGATGGTTGCCACACTTTTACTATTTTCCAATTATTTCCCCAGCCCTTGCGAAAAGGTAATCTATCCACGCAGATCAAAGTTCCGGCCGCAGACTACGTTCTGCAGAATGGCGCCACCCTTCTAATCGTATGTGAGGCTGTAGATCTCGTCATACAATCCCGATTAGCTCAATACCGCATCAACTAAGACAATCATAAAAGGCGACCAATCTCAGACGAACAACGATGAGGATTGTCAGACCCAGAAGTTGAACTGTTATGACTTCTTTGGAGATAAATATGAAGATCCAACACACACTGGTTGAAATAGGCACCATGACACCTCAAGTCCACGTTTCGTGTCTGGAGAACATCCGATCCAAGTTCTTCCTGTTACCCGATTGATGACTTGAGATGGACTCGCACGGATATCGTAGAGAAACCATCGGGCGAGGCCTTGGTTTGCTGTTAGTCCCACTCGAAGAAATAGCTCAAACGTATCAACACGGTTTGCTGATACATGTTGTAAGCCCATCGAAATTTTCAATAACCATAGGTACCTTGGGTATAGAATAATGCGAGATAGCCTCGTTTGTCTAGGCATATAAAATTTATAAATAATTATATCTACATATTTCATTTTACTTGTCAAGCAAGAATACATATGAGAACAGTTCGATTAGAGTATAGATAATATGAGATGATAGATGATAGGACGTAGCACAAGTATGAGATATTGCATGGTAATTACGTAGATATGTCGAAGTTAATATCAAAGTGCTGATTGAAAAAAAAAAAAGCCGTTACATCGTCTAACGTTGTACTACTTTCGGTGAAGTTGCTAATATTGCCGAGAAGTAGGCACGCATACGTGCTCGATACATGAAGGAAGTCTCATAGTAGCAAACACCTTCGCGTTTGTAGTCGAGCTCGTAGTCGACACGGACACAACGGCTGAGAATATGAGCCTAACTCCCAGCCTGTCAATAACATCGGGAAATATACCTAACCATTGGATACGGGTGATATTCCGTAGTGCCCCTTGGCACAGATGGGACAGCTCAGCGCTGATACTGCTGTGCTCTCCTTTATGATATATAATACGAAGGTCGGATTTAACAAAAGAACCCGATCATCACGATACTTATGGTAGTTATTACTAATGACTATGAATAGATAGTAGTTGGTCCGTCTAGAACATGTAGGGCTAGATTATACCTTTACGGGATTGTCACTATAGGAAAGGATTGGATCCTTATTGCATAGAAATCGCCCTGTCATTATTATGTAGCGAGCCTGATAGGGGTTAAAACGTCGTGTAAATTCGCCGCCCTTCTATAACAGGAACCACGTCGCTACGGCCGGTGATAGATAGAAACTATCAAGCAACCTATACCAATACCTACATCCGAGAATAGAAGGTTTTGCCATGCTAGAAAAGGCAAACCAGCTCATCCTCGCCTACATGTAGACAGTAGCACCAACGCAGTCGATTGATATGAACTTGGAGCAAATCACTAGTAGATATCGTAAGGAATACAGCGTCTCGCGTGATCGTGTTGACGACAAACGAGATTTTATAAAAATTTACTGTAGATATGCAAACCCCATACTTATTACCAAGCCGTCGAATGCGCAAGCCCGACCCGATAACGGAATCTGCAACCGTCCGGCCCCAGCACCCTCGATCCCCCACGGGCAGCCTATCCCCGGGCCGAGAAGCGAAACCGAAGTGGAGGCGAGATCGTTATCAACCCGAAGCTGAACATGAGCGGTAGGCTGTTAAAGGAAGCTTGATCTCCCCACAATACCGCAATTGCGTGGCAGCTTGCTGTAGGACGGATAGCTTGGGGCCTGGGGCTTGGGCTTTGCCGTGGCAAAAAAAAAAAAAAAACCGGCACGGTCCGCTACAGACGAGTCTCGATGCAATGGGCATATATGCCCTACGATGTATACGGCCGCTTCGCGCGGTACAAGATATAGGGCGTTAGTTGTTGTTGCATTGACGTTCGGAGTTGTCATACGGACGAACCAAGTCAGGTTCTAGGGGGGCGAGACGTGGAACTTGGGCACAAGGCAAATGACAAGATGATTATCATCACATTACACTAGATGGACGCATGTTACTCGTCGTGTCGAGGGGCCCTTCCCTGAGTAGAGCAAGACAGAACCGTCCGAAGTCTTGTAGTCAGTCGAACGTTGCCTTCAACAAGCCATGCCATCTCGAAGACAAGTTAGGTTAGGTTAGGTTAGGTAGGTACCTAACCTATAGACACATCAGTAGACGTCCCCCCCAGAACTTCCGCAGTAACCAGTAACCGGAACCCATCAAGCTTTACGAAGACCACGCAGCCCATCTCCCCGGTCACAGGCCCACGCCAAGTCCGAGCCGGTCTAGATTTAGAATGTCTTAGTCCAAACCGCCCAACAGTACCCAAATCGCTTAAAAAAAAGGCGGCCCAGATCCCTCGTGCGAGAGCAACTCGAGAAGCACATGCAAGTAGCCAGGAAGCGTAGGGCCGCCGCCGCAATGTCACAGGGCGGTACTCGCAAAGTATTTCCCCTAGCCCCGTACCGCGTCGTACGCCCGGTCGAAGAAGGTCATTCCTAGCTTCGAGATTTCTCGACGTGGGCACGACAGGTAGGCAAATATAACAGCGGCATAGGTGGGATGTTATTAGGGGGTGCGTTGGGGGGTAGGTAACCTTGGGAACGCATTATTAATGCTAAGTATTTACTTTATGTGTAATAGAGATGAAAGGCTGTCTTAATTAGTAATTCTAGGCTCAACTAATCGGCCATCTAATCCGTAAATAGCGATGAAACTTACACCGGTCAGTAGTTGAGCCTCATACCGGGGTTTCGCCCAAACCCCTAAGATATTGAGACATGAGCTGCACTTCTGCTTGTTCTATGGAAAAAATAATATCATCACGATATACATAAACTCACGTAGATAGTCAAAATATTCAATATGAATGTAGTATTTACTTGCTTTTACGCATTTAAAGTGCTGTCTGTAAACGGACGAATGTCCTAACACTCCTTCGAGTGCCAAATGATTGTCAAGAAAAGAGGGGGTATTGGTTCAGCAATAGATAAATGCTTGACAACAAAAAGAAACTTATATGTGTGTGAAAGTGCACAGTAGTGGCGGCCCGAACCGCAGGGCCGCCTGCTCACAAGAACCGTTCAACACCGGCCTGGAATGCTAACCGAACCGAATCCTCATTCCCGGGTTTATTCTCACGGAATATTCCTATTCCTCTCCTTTTCCCCTTCCCCAGAGCAATTCCAACTCCATGATTTACTCCCCTAACGCAACTCCGTTTGAGATCAAAGTACGTTACGGGTCGTAGAGATATCCCTAGTGCTTCCTGAACAACCGTTTAGTACCCCCGACTTTGCTTATCTCGCCGAACTTCGTATCTATTCGTTGCTCTGGAGGCGGTACGCGATCGTTACTAGCGATGCGGACCTTCTCCTTCACACTCTCGACCCAAGCTCGGCTTTCGTCACTCATATCTACGCGTCTCCCTTTCGGACCCGCCAGACCTAGAGCGCTATCCTCCTCATCCCATTCCATATGCGACGAGGAGCGCGACCTATTTGATATTTCTGAAGCCGGAGTTTCTGCATCATTTGGAAGACTAGCGAAAGGTGTATTTGGGAATTTTAATGGGGCCCCTTCAGAACCCACGCTCCTTCTAGTCTTGCGGATTGCAAGGGGTGAAACCGGAGAACCCATAGAAGAACTAGGTCGGCTTGCTGGACTTGACCCTGTGGCAGGGGGTGCAGTTGGTAGATCCTTGATATCTACCTTGCTTTCGCCTCTAGATCGTGAGCCATGATGTATTGCGTACTCCCGAAGGTATTCGCCCAGATCAGCCCAGCCGCCACCGATTCGAACCATAACTCTTTCCCCATTCTCTCCGACACTACGGACTAGTAGCTTGAGCGGAGGCTCGCCGGTGGATCGCGACAGGTGGTAAACTCTAATTCCCTGGCTGCTTTTTGACCTTGGGCGAGGTTCTCTCGCTGGAGTTAACATGAACGAAGGAGTTCCACTACGAGAGAAGGATGGAGTTTCACCACGTGAGGACAGTCCAGAGTTGCTTCGGCGTGTACCGTCCGAGGTTTTGGGTTTAGGCCGTGAGGGGTACTGAAAGTCGGGCGGATTCAGATTGACGCCGGGTGTCCTCTTAAGACGGATCTTAGCCGGGATAGACTGGAGGATATCGCTAATCTGTTGCTGAAGGTGTTCGTCCTCGCTGAGAGAGCTGAATGTGCTCGTACGGCCTGGACTACCGGACTGACTATCGTATTCAAACGAGCCATCACCATCTATGATTCCAGATGGCTCGATGGGGCTCCGGGGTGGAGTGCTACTGAATTGTGGCAAGTGAGCGACCTCAGGAACATCCTTAAAAGTAACAGAGGTAGACCGAGTCTTGTAGCGCAAGGGTGGTGAGCTAGGTGGACTCATACCATCACTCGAGAATGGCTCATCAGGGTCCGGTAAACGTGGTAGATCTGGCTCCATAGATCCCTCTCTGAAGGACCCATTATCAGAGTGACCTAGAAAGACGCCACCGCTGGGGGAACCATGTATGACAGTAGAAGCGACAGACCCCATGCTGCCCTTCCGTTCTTCGAACCGAGCTGGGGGCAAATCGGGCTCTTCTCGTTCCTCATCCACTGCTTCTAGAACCGAAGGCTCCAAGAATTCAAGATCATCTTCATCAAGTAAAGTTGCTCCACCCCCGATAGTTGCATTGGGCTTGTTGGGTTCCTGGGAGTGGCTGCGAATGATGTTGCGATTAACTTCACCTAGCACAGGATTAGTTTGACTGCTCCCTGCTCCCTGCCTATTTTTAAATTTATCTTGTGCTTGACCTCGAGGTTGTCTGCCCTGAGGAAGACGTGCAGTATTGGGCAGCGCACCGGTCGACTTGGCCGTTGCGATCTTTGGAGGCCGTCTTTCGTGAGAACCGTCGTAACTGAAGCTCTGCCCCCTGATCATACTTCCCGAGTCGATATCACGCCGAGATGTTACATGTCTTGTTGGATCAAAGGTTTGCGAAGCCGACCTCCGGATGATTTTACTTCGTTCCTCGGTCAAGAGTCTCACCCCACCGTCCTTTCGGGAAGAAATCGTAGATCTTCTTCTCGATGGCTCGGGGTTGGGTAAGCTCGGCCTTCGTCCAGGCCTAATTGCCGGAGAGGGATCGAATGGCATCGGAGGTGAGGCAAACTGGCTGACATCAGATTCCTCTAGCCTAGTCGGACTTGGGCCATGGACCTTGATCTTCGGTCGGGGAGTTTCGGGTCCCATACGAGACCCGTGCGCTGGAGATCCCTTAAATGAGCCAGGTGTCTCGTTCTCCCGAACTTTTCGTTCAGCAGTTGTTTCCCACGAAGCATAATCTTTTTCAATTGCTTCCATGCGATCCAACCACTCATCCGGTAAGGTATCCGTTGATCCTTCTAGAGAATCAAGCATGGAGTCTAGGACTTGGCCTGGTTTCATTATCTTCTTCTGTATGACGCCCTTTATGATCTCAAACTCATTTCTAGTGAGTCGTCGGGGCTTCTTTTTTAAGTTATCGTGTCCGGTCGAACTTGCAGGACCTGACTCAGCCGACTCGATGGCGCTCCAGCCAGAACGCAAAGCCATCTTGGCATCCGCCATCATGAAATGCAAAGACGGTACTTTCCGCAGGACGACAAACCGCACGGCCCACATGTTCAATAGCCTTGACAGTCTGGATAGGCAAGGCAGGGCCTGTATGGTGATTGCGGTAACAACCGCAGTCAAATCTTCCATCTTCGAGAACATAAGAGTGGACGTGAGAGAGCGGTCGCCTTCGAACAGAGGAGTGCCAGGTCGTGAAAGCGGCATGATATGGTTATGTAAAACTTGATTCTTAATCTCCTCCAGATCTAACTCGTCTAAGTCCCGTCGTATCCTTTCGACTCGTTTCTCGTATCGGTCTACGTCGGCGGCAGGTAGACTACCAAGGTAACCTCCATCAAAAAGCAAGCCAGATTCCGCCAACTCGTCGTTGGAATCATCTCCTGGCGTCTTCGGGTCGGACGGGTCCTTTCTCTTACCAGATGGCATCTTAAAACCGGCGGAAGAGCTATCCTTAGGCCAAGGCCAGCTAGAGAGCTCATCGTACCACTCGCGTATCTTCTGGGAGGCGGTCGCCGTTCTCATCGCAAAGGCTTGCTCGGAGGCCGAGGCTCTGTCCATACATTGTTTTAAAGCTCCTGTAGGAGACTGAAGGGCATCGACTGCCGCGAGGGGTGTAAGCTGGGAAAGCAAGTCGTCACTGGGACGAAGCGAATTGTGGGTTGGCGAATGGGACTGCGACTGGGAGCTCGAGCGAAAGTGTCGTCGAACGGCGCCCCGTGAGCCGGAAGGCGTATATACTCGCTGGTCGGCCATGTCTGATTGCTGTGGGTTAGTATCCGGGATTCTGTGCGCGGTACAACTTTTCGAACCGGCATTTCCAGCTCAAATATGACCTGTCGATACGGATAGGCGTAGATGCGGAACAGTTAAATTCGGTCCTCCATGACGGGAGGAGTTGGTAATTGAGTTTGTCGTTTGTAAACTTTCATCTCCTTCTTCCCCCAGAGTTTTACAGCTAAAGACCTTGTTCGCCTTGCCGCCTTCCCGCAAGTTCCTGTTGGTAATACGAAGTAGGGGGAAACACCTGGACCGGTCACTGCGATTCCAGAGAGCCGGCAGGTTTTCGAAAGGGAAGTCTCAGCTTCTTCGGCTACCCGCAGGAAATATCAAGCAACGTAGCTAAGGTGGATTGGTCTCAGAGATAGACTTAAGTTAGGCCGATGGCCATTGGTGATATGCGCGACAGGTGGGTATGCGACGTGTTCAAAGGAGCGGCGGGATTACGCAGTGATGCAGTAATGCAGTAATGCACATTTACTTTAAGTGGTATAATAAAAACAACAAGGAAGTGAAAACAATGACCTAATGGACGACTTAGGTGAAAGGGAAAAGCATAAAAAAAGAGAAGCGAATGAAAGGAAATTGGTTTGAATAATGTAGGACAAAAGTAGGATACAAGAAGCTTGGGAGTTGAATGCGAAAGAATTACACTACAACTTCGCGGAAGTACAGCGGCAAGGCGGGAAGTACAGCTCAATGCTAATTGGACGAGTTTCATGTGGGCAAACCACATCCAGGTACTTTTTGGCTATCAAATACAAAATGTGGAACCGGCGAGCCGCTGGGCAACCATTATTAGCTTCTTGAGCGCTAAAACTCTCATTAAACTCGTTTGAAAGAAGCTATGACCAAGTCAATTTACGACTTGCTTGTTATACCCTTGTCTAACTTAAAATGAGGTACGCCGAGACATCTCCCAGATAATTTCCTTATCGAATAAAGATCACACAGTACGTAGTACGAAGTATACTTACAATATACAGATTACATGATGAGGCCTCTCTCATAGCCTACTAGGTTAGGTACTTACGATTACTTTTCCTTCATGTGATAGAAATACGCGTATACTATTAACAATATTCAACTCTATGCATACCTATGCACAGAATATCTATGTACGTCAAACTACGCGATACCATCTTGAATATCATATTCGGATCTCGTAGCATTTCGCTGCAGGGAAAAAAGATGATGTGCAGCAGCTACCTTGTCCATCTAAGAGCCACACCGCAAGCTAGGCCAATTTATTTATGAGCCTCTTCCGCGACAGGGTTCTACAGGCCGTCGGGTCTATCAATCAGAATCAGAGCAATAAATATATCCGGCATACATGTACATAGACGGACCACCACATATATGATATATCATGATTCATGAATTGCATTCTGGGCAGAGAAAAAGCATAAGACATGTCAATATATTCATCCAAGTAGCCATTATATCCAGTCCGCCCCCAAGTCTATCACGAGTGAATTCACTCCTCCACTCCCCTCATTTCTATACTCATCACGGGTATAGAAACCGAAACAAACAACAAGAAACAGTAAACCTGCACTATATACAGCTCCCCTAAAACAAGGTAGAACTTTTGACCCCCCACGTACCTATCCAACGCCCGTCCCATGGAATTACCTATGCATGTCCATATCTATATAGTAAGACGGTATGTATATAAAATTAGAAAAAATTAAAAAATACCCGTAACACCAATAGCCCAACGAGTAAGCAAGCCTTTCGCCGTGGCCACGACTCAAGACGTCAAAAATTCATCGCGTTCGTTAGCTGTGTCCTTATGAAACGACGCCCTGCCCGGTACTCTCGAAGCCGACGTTGAAATTTGCCGAGCCGTCGATATCGCTCATCGTGACTAGGCCGGCGCCCATCGCACCGCCTGCCCGCGCGTTGCCCATGCCTTCGCCGGGGAACTGTAGCCACTGGTCGAAGTCGATGTTAGTGCCCGTAAGCGCGTTCCAGTCGAATTCGTCGTGGTTGTCCAAGCTGTCGAAATCCATTTCTATGTCCATGGTCGCAGCGTGTCCATCCGAGGATCCGCTCGCGCTAGGTGTGAGCACGTCCTTCTCGGTATGTGGGGGCGAGTGGACTGCGGTGGTGATCAGATCCGTAGGTGGCACGAACGGTTGAGGCGCAGGTTTCGTGAATAGGCTAGCCTCCTGCGTCGTCGCATACGGTGCATTCTCTGGTGGAGGCGTGGTCATATTCTCGATTACCGACGCGGTAACCGGAGTGGTGAAATGCGCCATGGGTGTCTTGACATTGGTAGTCCCCATAACACCGTTTGCGTAGGCTTGATTCTGCGCTACTTGCAAATCAATAGCTGCCTTTCGCAATGCAGCATCCAGAAACGCGACTGCATAGTCCGCGGCTGAATAAATGTCGCGTAGCTTTTCCATAACCTTCATACACTGCTTGAAACCTCGCATGGCCACATCGCGAGGTTGTGGCAGCGGGTTCTTCATCTCTAATAAGTGAATGATCATGGCAGGAAGAATCACAGTGACACCGGTTGTCGGAAGATACTTCTCAAGCCGCAGAGTATGCAAGTCGGTAACCATGCGCGTGATTTGAGCTGCAGCTTCACGGACCCTGGTCCGGGAGATCTCTTGAACTTGCGCTGACGTCTGGGGTGCATGCGTCGGAGAAGATGGGAGGAACTGTGGTCGGTGAAGAGCCGATATCGTCGTATAATACACCATATGTAAGAGGTTACGCTGTACAGCGACCGTTGCGCGACCGTTTTTCAGGTCCAGCGCTGATAGGGGTCTGTACTGGCAGCAGACCGGAAGTGATTGTACCCACGCGAGGAGCTCCAAGTCACATGAATTAACACCCTCCACATTGTCAAGCTGCTTGTTAGGAAATAACATCATCGTACTGTTCGTGGTGTTCTCTGCCCTCGACTTATCCCTGATAAGGACAGAGTACTGCGCTTTCAACATATGGCTAATACAAAGACAGAGCTTTGCCTTTGCAATGCACATCAAGGCGAGTTCTCGTTGCATCGTAACATCCCGCATTAGCGTACACTCGGGGCCGATGATTTGAACTTCGTCAGCGAGCGGCTCGATCTCGAAGTCGTGTTCATCTAACATCGGAACGTCGAAGTCTTCATCCTTTATCCGAGTCGGTCGTCGCATACCGAGGGCGATCAACCTATCTCGCATAAAGCACGACCACCATATTCGTTTCCATAATTTCTGTTTCCTCGGCGTCATGTTAGTGTTAGCCGGGTTTCGGTGCAGACCGATGGTGTGTGCTAGCGAGATTGCAACCCCCATCCAATGCCATGTGTCCTTTTGGTCGTCCGGCGTCTCATACCAATATGTCATCAGTAAAAGTCCCTGTACGAGGATGAGACGGTCGCTCTCGTAATCGAAGTCGTATAGAAGCTAGATATGTTAATAACTGTATAGAGGATCATGAATAATGTTCTTACCCTAGCCTTATAGAAGAACTCCCTCCGAGCAGCCTTCCTACTGGTATAGCCCGCGTCCTTCAGATACTTCACATCAACGAAGGCAGTTGCTGCGAACATGGCAGACTGGTACAGGAACAAGCTGATCTGACCATATAGACCATCTCGAGCATTGATCATACCCAGGAAATCATGCAGCTCTACGAGAGGCATGTAAGGATGAACATACTCGACGTACGAGGCAAGCAGAGCATTCTGAAGACTAAGGCTTGGGAGTGTGAGGGCCCCCTTAGTGTGAAGGTAGGTCACATCTTCAGGGGCTATCTTGGCCGGAAGAGGCCGGATGAAGGCGGGTAATTGCGAGGACGCATCGGGCTCCTCGAGGGAGCTGAGGAACTGTGCGGTCCTCGAGGCCCCCGTACCGGCAGCCGAGCTCGAGTTCTGACACGTGTTTGGATTCGGCCAGATACTGGGGTACCTTGATCCAGTATTGCTAGCCTGGAGGGTAGATAGTAATACAGGGTCAGGCCGTAAACCTGATCGTTGATCTGAAGCACATGTCAGTCCTCGTGATCAACTAGAGGGATGCTTACTGCGTTCCACAAGGCTTGACACCTTGCTGATAGGTTGATGCATATTTGCATGTGAAAATCTGGAGGTCCAATCATGACTTACATAGCAAATGAGGAACGTGACTCTCCAAGCCATTATCCAAGATTCCCCCTGAAGTAGTTACATCATTGCTAGACGTTGAAGATTGAGCTGCTTCGCTAGGAGGATGCAACGGAGCTGCAGCCGAAGCGATTGCGACTGGGTTTGCGGGCTTCGCTCTTAACTGTGCCTCGGCAGCCTGCGGGGCAACACTGCTATGAGAGGCAGTTGATGAAGTCGAATGAAAAAGGTTCTTTCTGTAGTACACAAAGTGACAGGGATTGTAAGCTTCGCCGCACCAAAGTAGAAAAGTAGAAACGTGGTTTTGGAGATTTTTTTTTTTTTTGGAGCTGAAAATAAAAAACAATATTTGGAGAACGACGCAATTGAGATCGAATAATCAGATACCAACGACATGAATTGGAATATGAATTTGAAAATTCACGAGATAGGGGGAGGGGAAGATGATAACTCACCTCCTACGACGACTCTCCTGTACGATGCATTCGACGTTGTCCCATCTGCAATTGCCGCATGGAGCCCCTTCGACCACATCACACCTAACTTTTCGGCTCCTACAACTGATGCAGGCCCTCGCCGCTCTCCGCTTAGTGATCTTGGCCGAGCCATTGGATTCCGAAGTCGACGCAGATCGCTTTTTTGACTGTGAATTCGAATCTGATAAAGTTTCCTTGTCTTCCGGCACCGGTGAGGGACGGTCGGTCATGGTGATGTTTACCGATTCGTCGGCTTGTTGTTCGGGTGAACGGACCGGAACTGTGTCTCCTATCGCCATCTTGTAGATTCCTTTTCCAACGAGACGAAAACTCGTAGTTGCTGCTGGTAACGAGAAAGTGTAAAAGAAACTGTTTCCTGAAAGACCCGAGTTATCCTAGATGTCTTAGACGAATTTCGGTGTAAAAAAGTTACAAAGACGTATTGGAATGTCTAGGTCACGAGGTAGACGGTGTTTGTAAGTATAAGCTGTAAGCCGTATCTGATAGTCGAATTTGCGTCGACGAGACTACGGGGGAGAGGATTCACTCTCCCACCTCTGACTTCCACACCGAACGACAACTAGTAAACGGGACTCCAGGATTCTGGACAGCATGAGAAGAAGTTTTAGGGATTAGGAATTTTGGAACTAACAAGGAGAAAGAAAGGACGGGTGGATAGGACGGGATTGTGTGGAGGTGGATATTGGTGGTGGGGGGGATTCATAGTATTATGTATATTCCATTGTTACCACGAGAGTAACCTATACCTACATAATACCAGATTACCACCGGCCATAAATGAATGCCTCTCTAGGAAAAGTCGCCGCTCCACTAGATTCCCGATGGGGGCTCATAATCGTAATTCGGGGTCTAATATCCTGCATGCAATCCTGGTGAAAACCTAGCTTTGCGATCTCCATAATAAGTGTTCGCGTGCGTCTTCTATCATTGGCTTCGGCAAGGAACGCTTTCGTGAGACTAACGTTAGAAGGATAAAACGGGCTTCTCACATGTCCACATCTGAAGCAATTGGTAAGGCGTAGCCTCGTCATCCTTGTGACCTCTGCAATTCCTCTAAACAGCAATAACCTGGCTTAAAAGGAGAAA